ACCGCTGCCCTGCCGGGTGCTGGACACCACGGGTTGCCCCCGCATACAAGTACGCCGGGCGACGGAGACAACCCTAAGAACTAACAATAAAGTTTCGCAATAGAGCGTAAATCAATATCAATAATAACCCTTATTCTCATCAAACTCTATCTATAATGACCTTTTCAACCCTAACATATATCGCTTTTTCTCTACCTTCTTTATATATTCATTAACTTAACCCTTTTTTCTATATAATATAAAGTAACCCTCGTTTTATTTATAACACCTCTCCATCCTCCTCCTCTATACTAAAAAAAAACCTAGAATTCGTTTCTTGATTAGTTTCTCCTTCTTTTCTCGGTAGAAACTAGATCGCTACGTCCCGAACCAATATATACCCCCTCTATATGCTTCCATATAATTGCCTCCCATAACGCATGCATATTGGTCCCCTCCGACCCGTGGAACCGCCGCCGTCCTCCGAGCCACCGGAAAAAGCCCTCCCGGTCGCCACCATCAACCCCAAACTCCCTCTTCGCCAGTTCCCGAACCCTCCCGCTCTTTAGCCCCATCAGAACCACCGGCAACACCTTGTCAATATCTTCACAGCGCCCTTCCTCGTCCGCCTCGCCTTCCCTCCTCTCCTCGCACCAGTCAAGCGGCAGCTTACACGTAAAGCAGCACGATAGCGGCCCGAACGTTATCTTCTTCCGTACCACCGCGTAGCCCTCGCCGGATACCTTATTGCACTACTCGTCCCGGCGCGTATGCCGTGGCTCGTCTGGCGTCCCCTCCCTCTCGGTTCTTGCGTGGTGGCGCCGGACATGATATACCGCGCACTCATCCGTAACCTCGTCCAGCCAGCGGAACAGCGTCCGGACCCGTCGCCCTTCCCCCTTCCCAAAGTTGCTCCACCGCTCGCCCTGTCTGGCCCTGCCTCTTCCTCCACTGGCGGCAGCGGTCCGCGCCTGCTCCTCGCATCGGTCACAAAGCTCCGCGCCCGCTATGTCCTTGCACGATTCGCCGGCAACCCCGTCCATAAACGCACTGACGACCGTCCGTCGACACCCTGCCGTCGACACGAACGCCTCCATCTCGGCCCGGTTACGTTCGTCTACGGAGCTGCCGTGCGGGTCGGGCCGGCTCGGCCGTCCGTCGTGCACGATGACCGACTCTACTACCTCCCCTGCCCGCCGTCCTCCTCGCCCTGTCTGCTGCACAAAGTCCACGAGCCCGTACGGCTGTTCCGCGTGGATCACTGCCACGATGCCCTGGATGTCCACCCCTGTCCCCAAGCCCGACGTGGCCGTGATCCATCGCTGTCCCCCACCCCCGGCCCACCCTGCCCGCACCCCGTGGCATTCTTCCTCGCTCATGCCGCTGTGGTGGAAGCCGCAGCCGACCTCGTGGCTATGACGACGCATTGGCGCCTCGATCGGTAGTAGATCACGCCCTTCTCCCCCCCGGATATCGTGGCCTCTAGCCGCTTGGCCGTCTCCGCTACCTGCCGCTCCACCGCCCCGCCCCCGGCCGTGACTTGCTCTACCCGGTACCGGCAATTCACCTTCGTCGTCCGATCCCGCACCATCGTTGCCGCCTCTACTAGCATCTGCTCCCGGAACCAGTCCTCGAGCACCTCCGGCATCGTCGTAGTCAAGAGTACTAACGGGCAGCTGTAGCGGTGTAAGCTTCGGAGCTCTCCTAGCCGAGCCCTGAAACCGATATCCGTGATAACGGTGTGGCACTCGTCGATGAATATCCGTCGGAGCAAGCCGGTATATAGTAGTCCGTTGGTATACGCGGAAAACTCCCCCGCGCTGACGACGTCCGCGCTGACGACCACCAGCCGGGCGGCCCGCGGTAGCCCTTCCCGTCTCGCCCCCCTCCGTATCGTACCCGCTCGAGTCCGCTCGTCCAAGCCCGCAGCTTCTCCGCCTTTCTATCTCGTATATCGATATTGCGGTGGTATGCGTCGTAGTTTAGCTCTGTAGCGAGAGTATCCGTCGCTATTACCGTCCTATAGTATACGATCATCTTAACCGGCGCGCTATATATCTCGAGCTTCTCCTCGAGTAGCGTACAAACCCGTCGTATTATCCCCTACGTAGCTTCCTCCGCCGTCGTCGCCGTAACGGTTTCTACGCTATATACGACGTTAGTACGTATCGTCCTAGCCTTAATCGTCGTAACCTCCTCGCGCCCTACGTTAATAAGCTCCGAGAACGCCGCCTCCTGGCGCGGCGGTAACGTCGCCGTTAGATATACTATCTGAACCCCGACGAGTACGAGCCGGCCTAGCTTGCGCAGCTTCGGCCGGAAGTCCCGTATACCCTCTAAGATGGTATGCGCTTCGTTAAATATAAACCCGTCGAGCTACGCCATTACCCGGAGCCCTTTTATATAATCCTAGAACCGCTTCGTTATAGCCGACTCGGGCGTTACGAATACGAGCGATGCCGCCCCGGGGGACCCGTCGCTGCGCCACTTTACGTACGGGATTTTCATCCGCCGGTAGCGTTCTATTAAGTCGCCTTGGAGCGATACAAGCGGCACGACGACGACCGTTATGCCCCCGGGGCAGCTTGCCGCCGGCAGTATGAAGCTTAAGCTCTTCCCGCCCCCCGTCCCTATTACCACTACGATCGGGCTTTTGTTCGTTATGATCGCCTGGATCGCCGACCGCTGGGCGCCTCGGAACCGGGCGTCCGCCCCGTATAAGCGGACGAGCTCACCGTCGATATCGATCCGCCGCCGTAGCTTCCACCTCGCTAGCTGTAGCGCCCGGAGCGCTTCGTCGTACGTCGACGCCGTCTTTCGCTTGCGGCCGGGCGTGAGAGCCAAGCCGAAGCCCCCCAGTGCGGACGGGAAACCCAACAGTCGGTGCCATTCTTCGCTGATCTGGCGGAAGCGGACCCGACGTTCGTTCGTCTCGAACCCGCCTTCGGTCACCAGCCGTCCGTAGATCAACCCCGCCACCTTGGACCCGTGGCCCGCTTGTAAGTCGTACGGGCTGTCCTCGTCGTCGTCGTCGCTCTCGCTACCGCTGTGGTCGGAGTCGACTTCGCAGAGCAGCTTGGTGTGCGCCGTCGACGCGTTGCGGAAGTACCGCCGCCCGATGGCCGTCGAGATATGCCGCCAGCTGCTGATGTTCAGCTTCTGCCCAAAAGCCAACGCGCTGAGCCGCCCGATGCTGCGTGACAAGCGCGGTGACGTCCAATGTTCTCCGGGGCCTAGCCTCCACCCGTCGTTATCGTCGTCGTCGTCGTCGTCCCCGCCTGCTCCGTCCTGAACCGTCCGTCCGCCCCCCTGCTGCGTCTCGTCCCCCTGTGTGCCTTCCGTCGCCCACAACCCCGCGTCGAACCGGGACCGGTCCCATACGTTAGCCTGGACGTCCTCCCAGAATGGCAGTACGAGCCACAGATAGTACGTCAGCAGAGTCCCGACCTCGCGCGGCAAGAAGCGGTGGATGATCTTGAGTCGCCCTGTCGTGGTGAAGCCTTTGTGCGCCCCCGTCACGACCATGACGAGTCCTCGGTCGCAAAAGATGTTGCGTATGCCTCCGTTACACGTGTTCCGGTGCCGCACCACGAGAAGCTCCCACGCCCGCAACGGGAACCCGCTGCTGATGTGCACGAGAACCGCCAGAAGCTCCAGCGCCTTCTCGACCCGGAGCCCGTATCGATATGCCGGCATGGGGTGCAGCGTCAAGCCGCCGTCGTTCGTGGACGTGACCCACCGGGACCGTAAGCCGTCGTCCTGTACGATCTTCTTGATCACCCATCCTCGGCTGACGCCCCCGTCGCGTTGGAAGAGCTGGTCGACGAGCGAGCGCCCGACCGTTTCGTCCGCCGCGTTGTCCAAGAGCTCGGCCCACGGGATCGCCGGCAGCCCCAGTTCGGCCGCCGACTGTTCGGAGAACGCGCCGAAGAACAGCAAGTCCTTATAGAGCACCGTCTCTAGCTGCCGGACCCCGACTCGCATCATCGCCTGGACGTCAAGAACGCCGAGACGGGTACCTTTATAATAAAGCTCCTCCTTACTCCTATCCCAGCATACCGAGCCGTGCATAGCCGTATTATTCTGTATGGCTATGCCGAAGTTACGGAGCCGGATGATGAACTGCGTCGGCGTCGTCTCCCAGCCCTCGCCCCCGCCGACCATGAACCGCCGGGTCATATCCGATATAAGCGCAAAATGGCTCGGGCTATTATCTTCGGCCTCCTCCTGGCTTTGGCCCTGCCGCATCTTTTGCTTCACCGCCTTAGCTCGCTGGTCCACCGCATGTTTGACGATGCAGAGCCGGGAGATCGCCATGATAGCGGAGAGCTTCGGCGTGAACCCACCGTACCCTTCCCACGCCCCGTCCGCCCGTATGCTGAGAACGGTCAAGAAGCTGACGAGAACGCTGTCGTACTCGGAGTCCTTGGTGAAGTGGTCGAGAACGGAGATGTACAACTCGAGAACGGCCGTCTCGAGCCCGTCGAGAAGCCCGGCGATACCGGGTGCGTCCGGGTCACGGCCGCCCTCGTTCCAAGCCTCGGCCAGATCGTCTGCATGGTCCATCACGGCATTATACGCAGTCTGCTGCCTCGTGCTAAGCTTGAACGGTGGTCGATCCGCCTCGTTATCGAGAGACATGCAGCGTACGAAGTAAGCGAGCAGCTGCTTGACTACGAGTCCGTACCTCCTCTGTGTTTCGGGCTTAAACCGGAAGTGGAACGGCTTCGTCCTCTCTTTCGACAGCTCGGTACGGTTCACTTCGAACAGAGCATTCCAAGTGACCACGCTGGGGGTGATGACGGCCTTGGCGTGGTCGACCAGCCGATCGAATGCCATGTGCACGAACCGCAGTTGGGCGTCGTCGGACTTGTCTGGGTCGTCGGGGTCGACGTCGTATTCCATGGCGATCAAGTCCCTTAAGAAATCCTTTCTCCCGCTGAACGCCTTCAAGTGAAGAGCGGAGCCGAGCCGACGAAGCCACGGGTTGGGCGCGTTGACGTCGTCCTCTTCGTCGATGCGCTCCGCCTCTCGACTTCGGATATCGTCGCCCTTGTTCTGGAACGCCTCGATGGCCCGCTGGAGTCGGACGTGGGGCTCGTCCTCTTGCACCCTTGCTTGTTCAAGACGCAGCCCCCTTGCCACCTCGAACAGCTCGCTCCCGAGTCCGCTTGTGAATAGTCGCTGGTGATGGACGCCCGTCCTCCACGGACTGATACTTCGTTCCTCCTCCGCCGTGGTAGTAGAGCGACGTCCACCCTTGAGTCCCAAGTCCCAGCCATGCTTGACCCTGAGATATTCTCGGATCCGCCGCCGGTCTCTACCTACGTATCGACAGTCGGGCGGTAACGTACTATCTTCGACCACGAACTCGCACCGGAAACCACCTATACCTGGCGGACCTAACGCTGCGATGGCCGGTGCGTCGTCTGGCCTGGATGGTAGACCGTCGTGGACCTCTTGCTGATTACGGAAGATAACATGACCTAACGCCCACGCTTCTATCTCTCTGATCTCCTGACCGCTAAGAGTGTGCGGACTGTTACGAAGATGTACCTTAATTTGTTTCCGTGTAACCGCGGTCTGGCATGTACGGCAGCAGAGAAGCCGTAGTTCTGGTTCGTACACAAAGTAGTCCATTGTAAACACACTCAAAATTGGAAATGCCGTACTTGAATCTTCTAAGCTAGCCATCTATCCTATAGTCGCAGTACTTACTTTCACCCTCTTTATCCTTTGATAACAAATCAAGTTAAATGCCGTTGAATGAGACATGTTGCTACGGCTACTGTTAAACTTTGTAAGTCAAGAATGCGACCTGGTTGGCTGTGACGAGATGGTCCGTGCTTATATACCCTGTCTTTTAACGACCATCAAAAAACCGACCGAAAAGCAGACTGGCTTCAAAGCGACCGTACTTACATATAAACGTATTACTGTTGACATCAATCGGCTCGTAGTTGATCCTTTGACAAGCTTACCTGTTTTGAACTCACCGCGACACGTGTAGCGCCCAGACCGCTAATCGTCGGCAGACGTTGATCCCAATCGTCGCAACCCCCATGACCTGCTAGCGCCGAAATTTCTCCCATACAAATTTAATCGTCGGCAGGCTGTCGACGCAAACAATGACTGTCAGGGCTAAACGCCGCCGCAATACCGAGACTCAGTCACTCCGGCCCAGCCTCGCGGGAAGCCAGCCTAACGCCTTCAATCCGGCTTCCCCATCGGCAAAGGGGCCCCCGATCTCAACTCCAGCTACTGGCAGGACCGCCACTGGGTCTGTCGCGATAGTTAAGAAGACATCCTTGCGGGCCACATAGTGCCTGGCCTCCTCGTCAATAATGTCGTCTCCAGCTTTGAGGGCCCCAGGAAGCAGATCGCGAAAGAGGCTACGGCCTATGTGATCCAAGCCTTAAAGAAGCTCATCAACAAGGAACATGCTCCGACACTGACCCGGAGCTGGGCCGCCGTCACGGCCTCGGCATCAGCCACAGCTCCGGACCTCCACCGGGCTCCGACCCGCCCGCAGGCCAGACCCCAGACAACCCAGTTGAAGGAGGACCTCCGGGTCTTCGCCTGCATCCCGGAGGAGGGCCTGTCAGCTGCCCGAAAGAACGCTCCTTTTGCCCTACGCCAGACAGTCTGCCGGACCTTTGACCTCCAACTGGCAGATATCCCTCACATCTACCACAATGCAACCGGATACTCACTTAGGCCAGCAAACAAGCAGATCCAGCAAGGCCTCCTGGCGAACAGGCGAAAACTAGCGGGCTGCTTAGGAGCTTACAAGATAAGAGACCCCTATAAAGTGGTTTACCTACATCGTCCCACGCTGCCCAGCCAAACTATGGAGCGTTGAGGGGGACGCCCTGGACCCAGCCATCTTGATCGAAGACGAGGTCTTTGCCCAGACAAGGCAGAAGCCTACCCGGACCCGGCAATCCCGCCTTGGGCCGGACCCCATCACAAACGAAGTCTCTTGGGTGATCTCATTCCTGACAGAGGTACAGCCGTTCAGACTATTTAACCAAAGTAGCAGGTCCCAACTCATTCAGAAGAGGAAGACGCTTATCAGACACGACCCTGGCTGTTAGGGCTACCACTCAAAAAGCTACTGCAACCGGCAGCCGCTCTGCAACAACTGCAGCAGACCTTCAGAATCGCACGAGACTGGGCCCTGTATAGCTCAACCTAAGTGCGCATCCCTGCTCTCCCAGACCGGAAGGAGCAGGCCCGGAACAGCACCCAATAGCCTAGGGACCTCCCTCCCTCCGACCGGGATCAACCGCTCGGCTCCAAGCGGCCACGCAAAAGGACACCTTCCGAGAGCTCGATTGTGTGCCTCAGGAACAGGGACACCGATAGTAGCAGCATAAGTGAGGATGAGCCTGAGGACGCCGAGGCCTCTCCCCAGACTAACCGCGCTATCCTACCTCTCTTGAGCAGAAGTCAGAGGGTAGCCCAGAAACCAGGTAACAGCGTTGCTAATGCCTACACCCACCTGGAACTCGACTTGGAGACGTAGGCCGAAGCAGGCCTCTCCACAGGTGCTACACATAGCTTAGTGCAACGTAGGGAAGCAGTCCCCAGCACATACAGCTCTCCTGGAGCTCTGCTGGGCTGAGATGATCGACATTGTACTGGTCCAGGAACCATGGATAGGCTATGTTGACAAAATGCAAATCAACACACGCCTAGGTTTCAATTCCTACGTCCCAGTAGATTTCTGGAGGGACAGGGAAACCAGACCTAGGGTAATGACCTACATACGGAAAGGGACGACATAGCAGACTGGGCAGATTGCCACAGCCTGTCTTTCATTGGCGAGACAGGGACTGCGACCCATGCCCAAGGTCATGTTCTCGACCGTACCTTCTCGAACATTCCCCTCGCACACGCAGTGGTCAGCCCACACCTTCACCCAGGGGCCGATCATCAAGCAATTATCTCAACAATCTCGCTTCAAGAGCTCAGACAACAACAGACAGACAGACCAACCACAGTCACTATCAGTCCCGGACTCAGCTCTGCCCCGGTTTAGAGACCCGCGATGCCCCTCTTCGCCCTGTTGTTGGATAAGGGCCAGCTGTTCCCAAATTTCCCACTGTACTATCTGTCCTGTGTGATTATGCCCTCTGTTGAAGAGTGTTGTCCTCCTGCCTGCTTTCTCGCTTTCGTGTTGCCTTCTAGAATCCTTCTTTTGCGTCTTCCTGCTTAGGCTCTGTCGGTGCTAGGCACCGTATGTGGTTCTGCGTACCTACAGTCTCCCCCCGGCGCTTAGCTTCGTCTGTTTCTCTTGTCCGCATCCTCTCGGACTCGTATGGACCGTTTCTCGGTTGTATCTGTAAGTCCTTTGTTGCCTCCTGCCGGGTTCCTATGTGGCCTCGTGTTTCTTGTCTATTGACCACTATTGCCGTCCACCGCCTTGGCCCAAGCCTATTCCACGAAGCACAATGCTCCACTGACTCCGGCGTGTTCGATTACTAGGTATGGGAGCTCCTGCACAGATTCCGCGGACGTTGTCGCGCGTTGAAGGGACACCAGTCATCTTCACGAAAGGGGCGACAGGGAGCCAATCTGTCTGTAATCTGTAGTATTGTGCGGCATCGATCGTAGTATCGTCGTCCCAGATCATACGAGACCTCATGGACGAGTGTCGTTTCGAATACCTGAGGCTGTCGGATAACAAAACCTCAATCTTCGAGCACCATAACAACGGCTGGAAAAGAACCATTACCCGAGACATCAGACCGATCGAGACAGTCGTCATGAACGAAGAGATAAAGCAGATGCTTCTCAACGACCGTATCGGAGGGGCTACCTACTGTACGGCCGACCTGGAACCGGCAAATCCAGTCTTAGCATGTCTGTTGCGGGCTGCTTCGGACTAGACATATACGTCCTCAGCCTTGCCGAGCCGGCCCTCCGTTGTATGGGTCTCTCGGAGGTGATGAGAACAATCGAGAGAGAAGCGGTGGAAGGCAGGTTCTTCCCGATTGTGGTCTCGCAGATTCTTAGCGACCTGCACGTCTTGGCCGTCTGTTTCAAAGAGACGGAGCGCCATTGCCTGTTGATCTCTGATATGGTGGAGTACTCTCAGATGGTCGAGTCCTTTCGCGTGGAGCAGAATGGTATGCTACGGCCCTGGAAAAATATCCTCCAGGAGGCGCTAAAAGCAATGGAGGAAGCCGGTGAATTTAGCTTTGCGGGAGGACATCGGGAGTTTTGGCAACGGTTGGACCAGCAGATGGCAAAGGTATCGCAGAACGATGAAGCCCTCGAAGTCGTGTTTCGTGACATAGAACGAATGATGCTCCTCGGGCCAGAACAGCTTGCACTGGAAACCCTAACGGAACCCTTAATCTCAACCTTCAGCGAAGCGCCCATGGCGGTAGTCACTGCCACTCAAGTCAAACAAAAGCGCCGGCATCGGAAACAAAACCAGACCAGCAACCCCAATCGACCGAACGAGCAGTCAATCCAAGGATCACTGGGTAGCTCGTCTCCAAGTCACTTGCCGCAAAGCCTCAAGCTTCAGAAATCAGACTTCTTACTATCTTTGCGGAACGGCACCCGACGCACTTTTTCCTGGACCGATTTCCGCACGGCTTTGTGCAGCGTAGGCTTCACGATGGAGCCAGTCGGAGGTTCAGCTTTTCGCTTCGTACTCTTTGAGCCTCTGAGCAAACAGAAATCGTCAATTATTTTTCATAAACCACATGGGAAGTCCAGTGAGGTGGCTCTAAGTCTCGGCCAAGCCCGACAAGTTTGGCTGAAGAGGCTTGAGAGACACTTCGGTCTCAATAAAACCTGACAGCATTGAGGAGCATACTTTTTGAACATTTCATCGTTACTTCTTGCATTGAGTTCTGTAAGATGGCCAATCTCTTCCTGTGAGTCTATGTGCTTGTGTCGTAGGGTATATATGGCGTTAATTGCTGCCCGTAATTAACGGCGTCGTTTTTACGACTGCTTGTGTCGCCAGAAGAGCAGATTTCCACCTGTATGTACCGGTATCGATCATTTAGAGAGCTACGAGCATCAGCTTCCAAGGAATAGGACAGATTGCACGCGATGTGGCAAAAGCTGAGAAGGGACTGATGACACAAGAGAGGATTATTCGGCTATTCTTGAAAAGAAACGAGAAAGCCTATAGTAGTCAGCGAAAAGGGCCTCCCTTTGCTAACTCTCTGGTTTCTTTCCGCACGGACGCATGCCTTCTTGGCATAGACACAGTACAAGCTAACAATGGTATACCGACCCACTGTGGGGCCCCGATGACGACGTTCCCACTCCACCTGAACTAAGTATTCGGAAATGGGTTATGCACGGCATTTCTGGCGCCTCAACCTTTGCTGCCTGCTAGCGGACATCCCAGGCGCCCATTTTATTTTCTACAGTTGTGTGATACATTCAAAGCCCGCTATTTGTCATACTCTCGGATTCCCAGGTTGCTCAATACAAGACTTTAGATGCTGATTAGGCGTTTTGCTATAATTGCGAGCGTAACTATATGATATGTCTCTACATACAGTTAAAATCACAAGACTCCTTAATACACATGGCTCCAAAATAAAGCGAACAAACTGCCTACTCATGATTTTAGACGACATAATCTCAATCTGACCAATAGGAGAGAGTACAGAGTCAGGTGATACCTAAAACGGCTGATGATGCTACATCTAACCGTAACAATACGGAGCCAGTTCTGACCCTTTGGGATGACAAGAAGTAAGCAAGTTCACTTGGGTCCGTGCACGACGAACAGCAGGTAATAGCTCCCGTGTCATCAATGCCGGGGTCTAGGTGGGCAGAAGAGCCCTTTTTGGATCATAAGTCCCGCTATATTGAAGGTGGGGATTGTCATCGGACTTATCGGTCGTTTGAAGCTGACCGTCATCAGATTTAGGTGTTTAGTAAGTGGAGACACCTGAGCCAAAATCTGCTCTTGAGGTATTGCTGCAGTGATCGGCGTGATCAACACCTTGCGATGTGCTGATTCAAGTCAACGACTTCTAAGAGGCCGTTTTGGCTTTTTTCAGCTGGTTAAAATAGAAGTCCGCCGCACTATTGACCAGTCTTGCAGGTAATGGTCCTCTTCGAAACTGTCGACCAGTCGAACACCTACACGATGTCAACGAACCAACTCTTCGGCTCACAACCCCAAAGCCCGTCTCTATTCGACTTTAATGAGCTGGAAGACTCGGGTGGCGACGACTTCTTCTGCCAGAGCGATCTGTCGCTAACCAGGACTTTTCGTCGGCACAACTGGAAAACAACGAATCACACGCCACTAATGCCCCGTACTCAGTTAAGTGGAAGTTAACTGCCAACTGTAAGGGGCTGGCCTCTAGGCTTGCTCAACGTAGTGGTGCCGTCGATTGACTATTCAAGCTGAAGAGGAGAAGGAGGAATTACAGGGGTACGCGTGTGGTCGTGGCATTACACGCCCGGACTCAGCGGTGTACTGCGGCAGAATGGTAGCTCCGGCAGAGCCGGAGATCTCAACCGGGCTCCAGCCCGTGACACCAACAACAGAATGGTCACCAAAGACTCTGAACAGAACGTTCAAGTTCCTCCCGATGTCTTCTGGAGAACCTGTTTGAGAGCAAAGCTGAGGGACGTGCTCGACAGAAAGTTGCCATCAACAAAGACTTTCGAAGCTGTCGACACCAATGTTGTCGTATCCGTCACTGATCGATCACAGCGCGATCTTGTCAAACGATTTGATGAGCTTGATATAGATTGGTCAATGTTGGAAGCGCAACTACAGACGTGGAGCCATTTAACCAGCATAGGGAAAAGTCTAAGAATCGACTTGTCATTCAACTACATGCAGACACGTCTGCCAAGTGAAAGATCAGCTCGACAACGGCCCGCTCGAGGACGGCCATCGGTCTCTGACCAGATGCTGTCCGACCGAGGTCTACAAATCAGCACTGAGAGATCCAGCACTGGTGTGTCGCCAGTTTGGCCAGATGTGTACAACCTGATGCGGTGTACTGGCCCGCCTTGCCGCGTGGGCCCTTACTGCTGGCGCGATGCAACAACCAACAAACACTACAGGCTGAAGACGCACCATCTGAGAACACTCGTCGAGCACGTAGAACAGGGTGGCGAATTGCGGTGCCACGACGATGTGCCCGACTTTCTTCAACAGCAGCTATATGTAGAAGAACAGTAACACCGAAAGCGTCAACGGAGACGGACAAAGTTCTCAGCAGCCAGCAATCTGACCGACCATTCCGACATATCCGTGTCAGAGTCACCCCGGTTTCCTTTTCTCTCGCCGTCAACTTCGACGTCTGCGGCATCCATATCAACCGGCCTCCGCAATTCTCTCGACATCCCAGGTCTGCGCGACGATGCCATGCGCAAGTACTGCGACTGGCAGTGCTCCAAGGTTCGAGATGAGGACCTCAAGCTGGCCTTCAGAACGGCTTGCGATCTGGCTCTCAAGGATGGCCTTGACCTCGAGCTAATACACAAAGACCCAAACACCAGTGTTTTTATTCAAGGCGGGGTAAGAAGGGGAATAGCCGTTAGGTTTGTTAGCGACGTTGAGAACTGGGTTAAATGCTACAGCTACGACTGAGCCTGAGCTTTCGCCGTCGGGCGACCCCCTATAGCACTACGGCTCCTCGATCCTATACCCAGCGTTCCGGCAATAGCTCTCAACACTTATCCTCCTAGCCCCGATAACATCTACGCACCATTATAGGAATTTCCCAAAATCTTGCTGCGGGAGGTCTTTATACTCTGGCCACGTCCTTTTGATGAACGCCTTCAGCTCCGAGAAAAACTCCTCAATCGGATTTAGATCGGGCGAATAAGGCGGAAGATAAAGAAGCTTGACCCCCGCTTCGGAGCACATCTGCGTAAGCCTCTCCGAGTGGCGAATCGACGCATTGTCCATGATAAGAACCGACTTTGGCTCCGGCCATCTTCCGTAGTGGCATAGTAGTTGCGTAATAAAATCCTCGAACACGTCGCTATCAGTTATCCCTTGAAACACGCGTGACAATATGATACCATCCTGGGCGTAGGCGGGTAAAATATGATGCCTGCGTTCACGCCGGAATCGTGCTTTTTGGACAGGCGCTACTCCTCGTGGCGACCATCCAGTGCGCCTGAAGCCAGCTCGTTTATCACATCCGGACTCGTCAATATATACCAGGTGATACGACTTGAAGTCGGAAAGATTATGCAAGTAGCAGTCCCATACTTCATCGTTCCGCTGCTGAGCCACCTGACGAATCGTCTTCTTCGACCAACCTGCCGACGCTAAAGCCTGACTAATGCTGTGCGTCGTAACGAGGACCTCGAACTTGTTCTACAGAAATGTGACCATTTCGTGCTGGTATAGGTACGGCTGTTCGATTAGTTGCGCAAGTAGTGCCTCGAGCATAGGCGGTTTTAGGCTTTGGGGCCGGCCGACCGCGTTCGGAGGCGCCTTGGTCGTCCCAAAGCACCGAAGGTTGGCCTTGATGTGTCGGATGAAGCGGGTACTGCAGCCAGCGATGCGGGCCATCTGGGCGTTAGTGAGAGACCTACTAAGGATCATGTCGTGTATGAGTATGTGCTGGGAGACTGCGAGGTTGGGCGCTATAGTATGGTGATTGAAACCTGCGCTTTCGGAATCACAGCTATGGAACGATGCCGAAAGTGGTTGATAATAGAGGAACAGTTTATTCAGGATTACGTTGGCCAGTCTAGCAGCCTATTGTTCTAGAACATTCTGTGGCCACGATAGCGCCTGATTTGCATAGTCTCAGCTCCACCGCCACGTGACATTATACAAATAAACATGATCGGGACTAGCCACCGTCTGTGCGCGATTTTATCCGTCAGCATCCCCGCAACCCCGCAACAACGTTCAGACTACGATAAACCAGACTACGGCTGCAACAGACGAAACCTTAAGTTTGACTCAACTAGCGTCACAGGGAACAATGACACAAGTTCATCGCATCGGCTTTACACAGCTTCAAGGGAAGAGTGGTACAAGGGAGGAGGGGTCATACCGCGTCAAGTTCGCCACGTTCGCCTGGCCTGACGCCGAACCTCAGCTGACACAAGGCAGCATCATACTTGTCCATGGACTTCGGGGTCACCCCAGACATACGTGGGAGAGTGGTAAAATTGTCAATACGAACGATGACCACGGTCCAACAATAAAGAAGCGTACTGGCCTCAGGTCCTTCTTCAAATCGAAACGGTTGACTCCCGACCCTAGCCCAAGCCAAGCTCAAGATGTCTCATCTCCACCGAGTGTATTCTGGCCGGACGACTTTCTTACGGACGATATACCTGAGGCGAGGATCTGGACATATGGATATGATGCCGATGTTATTGGTGGCGTGTTCCAGGCGAACAACCAGAACAGCGTGTCTCAGCATGGTCGCGACCTCAAAGCAAAGCTCGAACGGGAGATTAATAATAATGTACTAACCTTTCCGCTCCGCAGCGAAGAAGAGCAATGTTCTAATAATAACCTTAGGATCCAATCGTGTTTATCGTGCATAGCCTCGGTGGTATTATCGTCAAAGATGTCAGTACGATTTCACGGACGATGAAGACTAAAGACTAGACTAAAGAGTCGCTACAGATGCTGCATCGTTCCCAGGGCTGTCAAGCTCGGGCGAAACTGATCATCTTCCTGGGCACACCGCATCGTGGCTCCTCCTACTCGGAATGGGGTCAGATCGCTTCGAACCTAGCTCGCTTGGCCCTGCAAGACTCAAATAAGAAAATCATTGAGATGCTGGAGGTAAACAGTGAAGTCCTTGACAACATCCATGAGGAGTTCAAGACGATTGTGCATTCTCACAACATCAAAGTACACTCTTTTCAGGAGGCGCGAGGGATCACGGGCATGAAAGGTTTGCACAACAAGGTAAGAAACATCATTCACTAAACACTTCCAATTCAGCTAAGCTAACTTACGGGTTTCTAGGTAGTGGATAACTTCTCCTCTAAGCTCGATTTGCCTCAATCACTCGAGACAGTCGAAAGCATCAATGCGAACCACATGGAGATGGCTAGGTGCAGCAGTAAAACCGACGAACGATATCGCGCGATTGTGGGTGTTCTGCGACAGGGAGTCTCCGCAATGATAGCGCCAATTGATAGAAAACCGGTTCGTTAGTATTTATCTGCGCTATGGCCATAATAGAGACCGTATTATTGACGCCTTTTTAGATGCAGTACACTACGTCATCCCCTTTGCGAAAAATAAACATTATGTAGAGCGGACTGAGTTATCCGATGTCCAACGAATGCTCTTTGACGACACGCACCAGACAGTTGCCCTAGTAGGCATGGGTGGTTTAGGAAAAACACAACTAGCCTTGAACTTTGCCTACTGGGTTAAGGAGAATAAGCCGACATACTCCGTTTTCTGGATCCCAGCTCTCAGCGTCGCAAGCTTTGAGCAAGTTTACACCGACATAGCGAAAGAGCTTGGCCTTCGTCCGAATACTAAAGGCGAAGACATTAAGACAACTGTTCGACAGTTCCTAAACTCCAAGGAGGCTGGCCGTTGGCTCCTGATCATTGATAATGCCGATGACATGGAACTCTTGTACGGATCAGCAGGCGACCAAGATGGGTTGATTCATCACCTACCGAGAAGCGAAAATGGTATTACGCTATTTACTACGCGCTCAAGAGAACTAGCGTTAGCGGTAGCGAAAAATGCGCTGATTAAACTCCGTGCAATGGACCAAGGCGAAGCCGAGGCTTTATTTAGGAAGTCTATTCTTCGGAAACAACACCTACAGGATCACGACTCCGTAGCGAAATTATTGGATTTCCTCACCTTCCTACCTCTAGCAATCACCCAAGCCTCAGCGTATCTAAATTGGAACGAGAGCGTGCCAATTGCAAGGTATATTCAACTACTACAGGGCACAGAGCAAACCCTGATAAGTACAATGAGTCGGGAATTTCGCGATAGCACCCGGTATCCAAACTCGCCCAATGCGATCGCAACTACATGGTTGGTTTCTTTCGAACAGATTCAGCAAATCGACAGCTATGCCGCTAACCTGCTGTACTTCATTTCACGGATCGAGCCCAAGTCAATACCACGGTCAATTTTGCCTCGCTCTGGCTCCGAAGACAAATTGGATAACGCTATTGGTATATTGGGTTCATACGCATTTCTCGTGGAGCGAGATGAAACCGAAACATTCGATATGCATAGTCTTGTGCACCTGGCGACACGCATCTGGGTGACTAAGCGATCCATCGACGCACAAATTAAGGAGGATGCAGTGGAGCGTATCAAAGAGATATTCCCAACATATAGCTATGGGGACCGTGCTCGTTGGAGGGAGTATATGCCTCATGCGCTGAAGGTTTTGAATGAAAGTACAGAAGTTGAAATGAATAAGAAGCTGCGTCTTTATTCACGAGTTGGGTGGTGTCTGCTAGAAGACGGACGAACCAAAGAGGCTGTGAAGTTACTGAAACAGGCAGTGGAGGTACAAGAGTGCACACTGGACGAAGGGCATCCCCATCGACTCACGTCACAACAAGTACTCGCATCCGCATATCAAGCAGACGGACGAGTAGAAGAGGCGATCAAGCTACTAGAACACGTAGTAGAAGTACGACAGAGCACACTGGACAAAGGGCATCCCCATCGACTCACGTCACAACAAGTACTCGCATCCGCATATCAAGCAGACGGACGAGTAGAAGAGGCGATCAAGCTACTAGAACACGTAGTAGAAGTACGACAGAGCACACTAGACGAAGGGCATCCCGATCGACTCGCGTCACAACAAGTACTCGCATCCGCATATCAAGCAGACGGACGAGTAGAAGAGGCGATCAAGCTACTAGAACACGTAGTAGAAGTACAACAGAGCACACTAGACGAAGGGCATCCCCATCGACTCGCGTCACAACAAGTACTCGCATCCGCATATCAAGCAGACGGACGAGTAGAAGAGGCGATCAAGCTACTAGAACACGTAGTAGAGGTAGAAGCAAGCATACTGGACGAAGGGCATCCCGATCGACTCACGTCACAACAAGTACTCGCATCCGCATATCAAGCAGACGGACGAGTAGAAGAGGCGATCAAGCTACTAGAACACGTAGTAGAAGTACGACAGAGCACACTGGACAAAGGGCATCCCCATCGACTCACGTCACAACACGAACTCGCACGGGCATATCAAGCAGACGGACGAGTAGAAGAGGCGATCAAGCTACTAGAACACGTAGTAGAAGTACGACAGAGCACACTAGACAAAGGGCATCCCGATCGACTCGCGTCACAACAAGTACTCGCATCCGCATATCAAGCAGACGGACGAGTAGAAGAGGCGATCAAGCTACTAGAACACGTAGTAGAAGTACAACAGAGCACACTAGACGAAGGGCATCCCCATCGACTCACGTCACAACACGAACTCGCACGGGCATATCAAGCAGACGGACGAGTAGAAGAGGCGATCAAGCTACTAGAACACGTAGTAGAAGTACGACAGAGCACACTGGACAAAGGGCATCCCCATCGACTCACGTCACAACACGAACTCGCACGGGCATATCAAGCAGACGGACGAGTAGAAGAGGCGATCAAGCTACTAGAGCACGTAGTAGAAGTACAACAGAGCACACTAGACGAAGGGCATCCCCATCGACTCGCGTCACAACAAGTACTCGCATCCGCATATCAAGCAGACGGACGAGTAGAAGAGGCAATCAAGCTACTAGAACACGTAGTAGAGGTAGAAGCAAGCATACTGGACGAAGGGCATCCCGATCGACTCACGTCACAACAAGTACTCGCATCCGCATATCAAGCAGACGGACGAGTAGAAGAGGCGATCAAGCTACTAGAACACGTAGTAGAAGTACAACAGAGCACACTAGACGAAGGGCATCCCCATCGACTCACGTCACAACACGAACTCGCACGGGCATATCAAGCAGACGGACGAGTAGAAGAGGCGATCAAGCTACTAGAACACGTAGTAGAAGTACGACAGAGCACACTAGACGAAGGGCATCCCGATCGACTCGCGTCACAACAAGTACTCGCATCCGCATATCAAGCAGACGGACGAGTAGAAGAGGCGATCAAGCTACTAGAACACGTAGTAGAGGTAGAAGCAAGCATACTGGACGAAGGGCATCCTGATCGACTCACGTCACAACACGAACTCGCACGGGCATATCAAGCAGACGGACGAGTAGAAGAGGCGATCAAGCTACTAGAACACGTAGTAGAGGTAGAAGCAAGCATACTGGACGAAGGGCATCCCGATCGACTCACGTCACAACAAGTACTCGCATCCGCATACCAAGAAGACGGACGAGGCTAGAAGCTTCCCAAGTTGCACATCTAGTAGGTTTAGCGGCTGGTGGATATATAGCATTATTTACTATAGTCAGCCGAAAATAGATCTTTTCCAAGCTGTTAGCCTCCATAGAGAGCATTTAGTCTTTGAACATGCAGCTTATCCCATCGAGTGCTGAATGGCAACAGTACATCCCCCCCCCAATTATTACCCACTTTTCCCCCTCACAACAGCGATACATGACGGTACGTCATTTACCCCTATGGGTTCCTCCCTATTTTCACCACCAAGACCGACATTTTCCTATGTGATGAAACGTCGCGATGACTTCTAGCGATTCCGAGGGGTCGGTACGGTCGTGTATCAACGTCGCCGTACTTCCCGAAGACCTAGCCGCTGCCTGTACTGCTGACTGTACACCCGAGAGATGCGATAATGCGGTCGTACGCCCATATGAGCCCCCATCCCTCGAAAGGGGCAGCGTATTCAACCCCTTCAACGTACCCGAGCGGAAGCCGACAATACGAGAAATAACTCTGTTCCGTGGCAACAGCATATAAGGGTCTCGCGGAAGAGCGCCTCCGCCTGCGTTGCGTGTAATCGGCCAAAGAAGGCGCTTAGCGAAGTCTCAGGAAACTCACGATCCCATAGGAAGAAGACGAGGTCAGGGTGTGAGCAGTGTGGGGTTGCGATTTGTAACTCAGAAGATTGCTGGTACCTATTTCATAACCAGAATATATAGACGGAAGAGGTACTAGAAAACTAGGCCTTTTGATTGGTTGGAAAAAGGCTTGGCTGGTCTCTGAGTGGCTATTACCCCTCACTGGATGTACTGTTGCCATTCAGCACTCGATGGGATATGGTGCGCTGTAGCCGCCGCGAGCCTGCGGGGCAGGCCTTGTTCTTGGTCATGCATGTTGGGTCGTAACACTATAGGATCTCTTAAACGGTACTATAAAGGGTTAATTACTAATCCTATTAGCTTCTAGGCCTTTCTCTATATAACAATGTCGGAACGGCAAGGCTGATAAGGAGCAATGGGCAGGTATCGTGGGCTGGCTGGCGCCTGCCCTGGGCGAAGTGGGACAACCTGCTTAGTCATCACGGCCGGTTAAGGTGGGGCAACCACCCAGGCCGTCCCCACCTACTTCGATCGGCCCCTGCCCACATTGTAAATAGGAAGAAGAACAACAACAGCAATTATCACGTCGATGTCCGTGATTGTTGCCGAAGATACACCCTCATGAGGAAATGTATCACGCCTGTGATACCAACAAATAAACTTCTTTTAAAAGATCTACCTACGGTACTAAGGACTAGGTCTTAACCTAGGCCTAATTAACAAATTTCTCCTAGAGGGATAGACGGTAATAACGGAGCTAGGGAACCAGCGGGAACTAAGGACGGATAGAATAGATAGTAACCTACGGGCAAGATTTGGAGGACGTTAGGAAGAGGCGTGTACTATAAAGTACATGGCTCGAGCCTACGGCCCTCCACGCCATATACCCCTTGGGAGGTCGGCCGCAAGGGCGGCAGCGCCTTCGCCGCCACGGCGTTAAACACAACAACAACAACAACACAACAGTACATCTGCATCAAACTGAGCATGTTCATTCATTATTCAATGATCACACGATTCTTCACTATAACAAGAAGGAAGTCTTTCGAACTGGAAAAATATAATAAATGTGTTTGCCTATGCTCCAGTCTTTGAAGTAGGATTCCTCGACCTATTGGTCGTCACAGAGTGTATGCTATCTTTTGAGGAACTTCCCCTCTTCCACATCTGGAACTCCCTAGCTATGTCGTCGAGCCCGGTATCGACTGGCGATAGTGAAAGTTCCGTTGATGGATCGTCTGAAGTTTTACTGAACTTATCCATCCTACAAGTCGGTTGGTATTCGTCGAAAGGTGTTGCGTCCGTCGTTTTCTTTGGCTTTTTACTAGCCAAAAACCGCAATAGTGGCCGAAGCGCAGGAAGGCTTGCACACAGAATTGCACACGAGACTTCAACGAGAGACCAATTGATAACATCTACGTTGTCCCAGGTAACATCAGATGTGACCGAAAGATGGACCAGATATTTCAATCGGACCATGCTAGTAACGCATCCACTGAGGTACCAATGGAATGGTTAGTCAATTCTTTCCACAAGTCCTGGGAGCTGGTTACGTACAATGACCCTAACCCAAATATCAAACTGAGCCAGAGTTTCTTCTTGGTACTAAGCTGCAGTCGAAGAAGCTCGGGAATTGGGAGGGCAAGAATAGCAATGTCTTCAATGACGCTGAACACTGCACCGGAGTAACCAATTGCTGCAATATTCATGCACTTTCGAGATGGATCATCAAGATCCCAGGTCGATGTGATGGGTGTACATTCGAAGATGACGAGGAAGAGAAATATTGCCGCGTGCAGAATCAAAAATAATATGAAGAGTTGGGTCGTGAGGTAGAACCATCGAGAAGAGAAAAATATTCGCGAGAAAAAGAGGAGCAGTGAGACCTTTGCTAGGATCTGGGCCAAGATATAAAGTTGTTCGCCGATGTAGAACATCTGTATGAGCCTTGTGCTTGCCCAAGGTTCGACATGCCAGTAGTGCAAGCCGAACCCTAGGCTGGTTCCCGATATCTGAATGCCTGTTATCGCAGCGAGAAGGATCTAGCATTATTTTGTTAATCTTCTATCCTCACAGCCTGCTCAATCGTCACTGTCCGTACATACCGTGGCCGCAATGATCATCCAGTCATCCCACCAAAGCCGATGGTCGACCAAGTACCGCGAAACGCATCGAAGTCCGACAACAGTGAAGGCGATTATGGATAGGGCTATTGCCACTGCCCTTGCTTCTTCTCTTCTTGATGGCTTTGGGAAAGTGACACAAAGGTCTGTCTCAACTTGAGCAGCACCTATAACAACATCAATCATCTTTGTGCCCACATTAGAATGGCGTTACACATATCCTTACGCTTTTGGTCCTCGAATGAACACTTGGGACGAACACACGACGACAAGTCTGCTTGAAGTTCAATGTCTGTACAGAGACAGTTGGCGATAGTAGAAACAGAATTCAACTTACAGCCCCCATGCTGGAGACCAGTAAGAAGACAAGGGAGCTGCGAAGATGAGAGAGTTTGTCAGTTATTACACCTCGACTCTAATTCAGGCCCCGAAAATTAAGGTAGAAATAGACCAGGAGATCAAGTTGGAGTTACTCACTACGCATGATGGAATCTGTGATACAAGGCTGGTTAAAGTAGTTTCCGCGCCCCATACGGACGTGAGACAGGGCGAAAGCAAGAGCACGAAAAGGCAATGCTTCGTTCGCCTCATGTTCGCGAATTCATTCCACATGGAATGGAAAACCTTGCGAAACGTGGATCTGAAAGGTAAACGCAGATGGAGGAGGATGGAGGCACAACGTGCCTACCCAAGTGAAGAGGGCATTTTTCTGTACATAAACAGTGAATGAAAATTGGGAGGATGCACTAAGAAGGGATTATGGTGTATGGCGTCCCTCTGAAACGCCGTGCCGGCTGCTAGTGTCTAAGCATCTCTGCACTATTGAGCACTAAATTTGCGCCGTAAGACACCAGCTCGCGTGGCCACAGCCATTTCCGTGTGATGTAGCACATCCATCAGGATAAGAAAAGGGGTTGGCCATGCTGTCTGACAGAGGACATCGCGTCAAACACGTTGCCAGTGTCGAGGCAATGTACGGCAATTGCGCCAAACGCGTCGCTTGCGCGCTCTACCACAGTCCATATCCACGTTAAGGTGAAAGTCAGTTGGGACCGTGGTGGCTACACCTACCTTACGTAAGTTGGCAGAAAACCCCTTGATTCAGACAGATTGTCAAGGTTGTGTTGAAAGTCTGGATAGATGCATTACCCTTCCCGCATTCAGCTTGGTGATGATAAATTGGCATCGACCGTTGTCCTGCTAACCTACCCACTTTGCGGAGCAATTTATCGAGCGCGGGAGAATAATTACGCCGATGGCCTCGTCTGTCTACTTACCATGGCGCTTGTGTCCAGCACCTCATCTTCCGTGTTGTATGATGTATCCTACTCGACACTCGCCCTGGGAGTAGATTTCTGACAAGCTGATCAACAGCTCCTGGGGAACTTGGTTGCGATCCCTGCTCTCCCTGAAAAAAAACAGATAGCCCCGTTGAGTCTGTCACTTGGGCTGCGGGCAAATGAGAGGCAGGATGGCGGAAGAATCTGGCCGGGTTAAGATGTGATGGAAACATGCTACGAAGGACAATACCGTTTGCGCTTAGGGTCGAAGGGATGAGACGGGTATTGGCTAAATATCGATTGGTCATATATTTTCAAGACTGCGAACCTATGAATTCGGTTCCAAAACCTAGCTTTTCTTCTACCCCTACCCTACCAAAGTGCTTATACATGTTATGGAGCGGTTATTGGGAAGCTCCCTGCGCTAGAAAACATAGTGCCCCAAATCTTGCGTTTCTTCAGTCTTTCTGTTAGAAGCAGAGACTAATAGTCCGAATATGGTGCAACTATCGTTGCTGTTGGTTCTTGCCATTCTAGTCATTGCTGCTAGCTATCTCATTAAGTCAAACCCCCCACTTCCTGGCACCCCCCTGTTTCTGGCACCCACAAAAACGCGAAAATCCACCACAACCCAATGCCCACCCCCAACCTCCTTTTATCACAACATTTTCAATTCGCGTCCAAATGGGCTCATCTTTTGCACATACCTTCTTCTATATCTAATGCCTCAATATACCGAAGATCAGCTTCGTCAGGCTCTCGAGGACATCTCAAACGGCAAGAGTCAAAAGAGAGCCTCATTGGAGTATGGGATACCACGATCAACCCTCCAACTACGTCTCCAAGGTGGTCAGACTAGGAAAGTGGCTTTTGCTGACTGGCAGAGGCTGTCTCCTGACCAGGAGAGTAAGCTGGCACAATGGGTTCGCATTCAGGCTTCGCTGGGCCTCGCACCAACGCACCAACAGGTGAAGGAATTCGCAGAGCGAGTTCTGGCTGCTGCTGGGGATACCAAACCACTGGGAAAAGGCTGGATCTATGCCTTTGTGAGAAGGAACCCTATCATTAAGGTTCAGAGAAGTCGTTCTATCGATTCTAGACGCGTTAATGGGGCATCTACTGAGGTCATTAGGAACTGGTTTAAGTTCCTCGCTATCCCTGAGATCAAGGACATCAAACCAGCCAACAGATATAATATGGATGAGACTGGCATCCTCGAGGGTCAGGGAGCTAATGGGTTAGTGCTGGGTATGGCTGAGACGACGTCTGTTCGCAAGAAACAACCTGGGTCGAGGGCATGGTTCTCTATCATTGAGTGTATCTCAGCCTTGGGTAGGGCACTTCGTCCTCTTATCATTTTCAAGGGGAAGACAGTCCAACAGCAGTGGTTTCCATTACATCTCGTTCCATACGATGGGTGGGAGTTCACAGCAACAGATAATGGCTGGACTACAGACTTAACTGCCATTGAATGGTTAGAGAAGGTGTTCATCCCACAGACTATGCCTGAGGCTGAGGGGGAGGCTCGACTGCTGATTGTGGATGGGCATGGGAGTCATACGACGACAGACTTCATGTGGAATTGCTATATTAACAATATCCATTTACTGTTCTTACCACCACACTCCTCTCATGTCCTCCAGCCTCTTGACCAGTCTGTCTTCAGCCCTGTTAAGTCAGCCTATCGGAAGGAGCTCGGTTACTTGTCTCAATGGAACGACTCTACCATTATAGGTAAAAGGAACTTCCTGGACTGTTACCAGAAGGCTCGACTTGCTGGTCTATCAGTCTCGAACATCAGAAGTGGTTGGAAGTGGACTGGTCTACACCCTGTGGCGATGGTTAAGCCCCTGATGAACCCTATGGTACTACCTGAGCCTCCTGCTAAGCCCACCACACCCAAACCAACTAGTCAGGGCAGAAAGCGATGCCATAATGGTCAACAAACTACCCCTGTTAAGCCATGGGATTCTGCCTCCTCTGCAGTGGTCTGGTCGACACCCAGGAAGCTGGCAGAGCTCAGCGGTCAACTGCACTTATACACCCAACTCGACAATGATACCAGCACTCAACGGCTGCTATTCAGGAAGGTGAAAAAAGGCTTCACAGAGCAGGCCTGGCAACTGGCAGCTGCCCAGCAGCAACTAGCTCACCTGAGGGCTCAATTTACCAACGCTGCAGTGAGGAAGAGGAAGACTGTTCAAATCGATCCCAACACGAAGTTCGCGAACATCAGGGATATCCATCGGGCTCAAATCGAAGCGGGTGAAAAGGAGGTTATCACGGCTGAATCCAGCGACTCTGAATGCCCTAGTGAGGCTGGCAGCTGTATTGTAGTGGGTGTGGTTGAGGATCAATAGTTAATAGTAATGAGGAGGTCGGGTTGTGATCCCATCGTTTTTGTGGTGCCAGAAACAGGGGGGTGCCAGGAAGTGGGGGGTTTGACTTACCTTGGGAAAGGTTTAAGGGCCTATGAGGGCTTATCTGGAGCCATGGAGCTGTTGATCATGTTCGCCCTCCGGAAAGCTGAAGAATATTGGTTCATTATCATTCAAGTAACCATCGTCACTTGTAATTCAATAATGTAGGTGCATGTTTCAATAACGTTAGTCACTTGGCTGGCTCTGCTTGTGACAGAAATTGATGATTGCATTACATTAGTCATTCAATATCTGATTAATCTCCTCCCTCGCTTCATCGTTTAAGATGGTAGAGTGATGAACCCCTTGGACATGACTTCCTGGATTCCCTTGAGCCAGACATTTGCCATTTTAACATATCCTCCATCATTTGGATGTCTCGTGTCAGCAAGATCATCGAGAGTTGGGGCATCTGCGCTGCGCATATCAACCATCGCAAACTTGGCGCCGGATTGCTGGAGCTGTGTTGCTAAGGTTGCGTACTGGTCGTTTATTTTGACTCGGCATGCGTCTTGTTCCGGGACTTTGTTGGCAAGAATTGAAGTAAGAATTATAGTAGCTCCGGGACTCTGCTGGTAAATCTTGTTGATCAAGGCTGTGACATTGGCTCCTGCGTCCGGTACCTCTCCACCCTTGTTGCAATTGTTCGTGCCAGCGTCGACTAATACGAGGTTTGGTTTGAGCATAGGAACGGCCTTGTCGGCCGAGGCAGCGATCTGGTCGATTTTGAAGCCACCCGTTGCCTCGACGGCATTGTCGGGGAAGTTGCCATTAGCCCTTGTGCCGACGTAGGTGGCATTCATGCCTTTAGAGACGAGTAAGTCCTGCAGGTCTTTTCGATAACTATTTCCAGTTGAAGATCCAGTGCCGAATGTCACGGAGGCACCCAGCGCCATTATCCGCAGTGGCACGGTCGGCCCTGGCTCTTGTCGTGGAATGTTTGGAGCCGCCATCGCGCCGGCAACGCAAATGGTCATAAGGAAAGGGGGGCGCATCTCCAGACTCCAATTGTATTGACTAGGCGAAGCAAGACGTTGAGTTGAAAATATCAAGCAAATGAGATCCGAATTGATAAAACATTGCTTTTGAGTTTCGAGGCCAGGGCCACGCCTATTATACCTGAAAGTTCCCTGGGTGGAAACTTGGGGTTCGGACGCTCATGGACCCAAGGGTATTTCCGCTGATGTCTGATACTCGCACGGAACCGGAAGCCGTTTCACTCCCGGCTGGCTTGCAACACAGACTTTTTGTTTGCATACTTACTTCTATTACGATTGGCTGTCTCTATGACAATCGACCTAATTCTCCTCGTTGTTGATATTAAATGCGATTCTAGCACTCTGATGAAATACTCGGTTTACAAATCTTCGAGATCAACAGCGTGATGCCTCGGCGATAAGGTGGCCAATTGCCCAAAATGGCTATTGCACATTCGAATGGAGGATGATGACACTTGTCTTGACTCTGTTTTAGGCAGCAAAGGCAGAGTCATCATGTGCAAAATGCTTTCGCATGTTCAAGGGAATGAACGTTGCAGCAGGGATGAAGCCATTCCGATGTGAAGCAAGCCTCAAACAAGCTTTTAGCGTCCGGGTGAGGACACGATTGGCTACAAGGTCCAAATTCTTCTAGGATATTTTGTCTGTGCAATCGTAGTCGGTAAAAGATTGAGATGAATATCAGATGGCAGCCTTGGCATTCGTATTAGCTCTAGGTTGGTTTGCTGGATTGACTAAGATTTAAGTAGGTCCGGCCGTTTAGCGGCAATGTTAGATTTTTGCGATGTGTGGATCTAAGTATCATCAGCACTTACAGGTAGGACTTCTCTTAGCTTGAGAAAACTCCCATAAACTTGGAGAGTCCAGTCAATTTGAAGGCTTTACAGTACAGTATCCTCAACTATTTTGACGTCTGTGTCTCTGTGTCTCCAGGATGCAAAGGAAAAAAGAGGATTCCCACGAGTTTGCATTCCAAACATCCTCACTATTGTAGCATCTTCCACTTGCTATCAAACACTGTCATTTTGAGATAAGCCTGGAAATCTCAGAGCCAATTACTTCAACGAGACGATGCCAATGGTATGTCGGAATATGCCGATACCGCAGACAGCAATTTGAATCCGAAGCGGCAAAGGCAGCGCAACTTGCGGTCAGGGTCCGATGCCGCGTAGTGAGCCGAACGGTGTTCTCTAAGCGCTAGCAGGGACTTACACCCACGGCCAAATCCCGAAAGCGCGTCACAGGCTCAGTCCACGGGTACGGTTCACGGCAATATTCTTACTCGCTACTCAGTGCAACACTGCCACGGTGGAGGACGTGTGCCACTATCATTGACCGCAAGATGTCAAGGTGGGAAAAGTTGCGCCATTTCGGCTTGGACTATCGTATGCGCTGCTGCTCCGGTCTACCCCGCGCTCTCTGCATCGGGGACTGCCCGCTATTACTACGCAAACCAAGCTTGAAGTCCAGGGGTTGAGGGCATTTCGGTGGAGAAGTGGAAATATTTCCCCGGGGAATTCCCGGCTTTTTCGTCTGGTGACCCTGCCGGTGGTCTTCCGAGTTGACCATTGGCTTGCCGCCGTGTTGGCTCATTTCTCATTACCTACACCAGCACGATCATACACACAAAGTTGGCTGATGATGACCGCTGTTACTTTCCGGGTAAAGTCGAGTCAGGAATCCACACTCTGCGGGTGCCCATCGCATCTTGAGAATAGGACCGATTGACCGTTGCCCATCTCGGGCTCTGCCTCACCGACGATGACGTTTCCGGCGCAATTTGCATGATATTCACTCAACCAGCGTACCTAAGTCCAATATCTCAACTCGGTGTCTGCTTGATTCACACTCGCTATATTAAACTCCTTTCCAGCGACTGCATTCCCGATTTCTCGTGGCACTTCAGCAGTCTCTTGTGTTGCCTGTCGATATCTCAACGTTGCAGATCAGCTTCGTGGTCAACGAGAAAATGAAGATTACAGGGTTTTCTCTCGCTGTTGCCCTTGCCAGCTCTTCAGCTGCGGCACAGTCAAACAGCACTGCGCTATCTGAAGTGCCATACTACGGAAGAAGTCCACCGGTGTACCCATCCCGTAGGTTTTCGAGCTTCATTGGTTGAGTCCAAACCATCTAACATGAAGCAGCTATCGGCAATGGCTCCAGCAACGCTGGCTGGGCCGCCGCCTATCGTCACGCAAGGGCCTTGGTCTCCCAGCTCACCGTCGAAGAGAAGGCAAACATCACTCGAGGGTGGACTGGCACATGTGTAGGGAACTCCGGCGAGGTTCCTCGGCTCGGAATCCCAGCACTGTGCTTTGCTGATGCACCCGACGGAATTCGCGGTCAAGAATTTATTTCTGCCTTCCCAACTGGAATCCATGTTGCCGCTACCTTCGACAAAACCCTCCTGTACAAGTATGGTAAGGCGCTAGGTGACGAGTACTACGGGAAGGGTATCAACGTCGCTCTCGGTCCGGCCGCTGGACCTCTTGGAAGGGTTGCTCGTGGTGGTCGCAACTGGGAGGGTTTGTCGAGCGACCCATACCTTGCAGGTGTTGGCATGGGCGCGATTACCCGTGGTATCCAGAATGCCGGTGTCATCGCCACTGCCAAACATTGGCTTTTGAACGAGCAAGAGTATCGCCGTCGAGTATCCGACCTGGGCGAGGCAATCAGTTCGAACGTGGACGACCGAGCACTTCATGAACTTTACGTCTGGCCCTTCATGAACTCTCTCAAGGAGGGTGCCGCCTCCGTTATGTGCTCATACCAAAGATCCAATCACTCTTACGGCTGCCAAAACTCCAAACTCTTAAATGGTATCTTGAAGACTGAGCTTGGCTTCGAGGGTTTTGTTGTTAGCGATTGGGAAGGCCAGATGGGCGGTGTTGCCTCAGCCAACGCTGGCTTGGATCTTGTGATGCCGGATGACGGTTTCTGGGGAGACAAGCTGATCGAGGCTGTCAAGAATGGTTCTGTAACAGAGGATCGACTCTCCGACATGGCCACAAGAATTCTCGCTGGCTATCACTTCCTTCACCAAGAGCACGCTTTCCCTGCTCCGGCTGTGCACTCCAATCTTCAAAAGGCTTACCCCGTCGATGTTCAAGACGACCATGCTTCTTTGATCCGCCAAATCGGAGCGGCTGGCACAGTCTTGGTGAAGAACATCAACCATACGCTTCCGCTTAAGAACCCCAAGTTCCTGTCTATCTATGGCTACGACGCAACAGTCAATGCCATCCCCTGGCAAAACCCCACTCGCTATGGCGGCGGTTACGAAGTTAACTTTGGCTGGGAAACATTCAACGGGACACTGATCACCGGTGGTGGCTCTGGAGGCAGTACTCCTCCATACGTGGTATCGCCGTTCCAGGCAATCCAGGAGCGAATCTCCAAGAACCGAGGCATTCTCCGATGGGACTTCTACTCTGAGAACCCCTCCCCGCCCTACGTCAACTCCGAAGCCTGCCTTGTATTCATCAACGCTTATGCCTCTGAGAGCTTTGATCGCCTAAGCCTCACAGACGAATTTAGCGACAACCTCGTCCAGAACGTAGCCGCAAACTGTTCAAACACTGTGGTCGTGATTCACTCAACTGGTAAGTGGAATGAATAAAGACATTTCATGGGACCCTTTCAAAAGCTAATGGATCTCAGGCATTCGCACTGTTGATGCTTGGATCGAGCACCCCAACGTCACTGCTGTTCTTTTTGCCGGACTGCCTGGCCAGGAGAGCGGTCACAGTCTTGTGGATGTATTGTGGGGTGACATCAATCCCTCTGGCAAGCTGCCTTTTACTGTCGCTCGTCAGGAGTCGGATTATGGGAGCCATCTCAATTCGAGTGCCTCAGATGACTTCTTCCCTGACAGTGACTTCACTGAAGGCCTTTACATCGATTACCGCTATTTCGATGCACACAACATCACTCCTCGCTATGAGTTTGGCTATGGGCTCTCATACACCACTTTCAGCTTTGCTGATTTGTCCGTCGCGCTCACGGCAGACGCTGATACATCAGAATATCCCGACCCTGGTGTGCTAATTGTGCAGGGAGGCCATCCATCACTGTGGGAAAACGTCGCAGTCGCAAGAGTATCTGTCACTAATACCGGCGATGTGGATGGAGCGGAGGTTGCGCAACTATACATCGGGGTTCCGGGCGACGACACACCCATTCGACAGCTTCGAGGCTTCTCCCGTGTCTTCCTCTCTCGTGGGCAGACGCAGTCGGTCGCATTTGAACTCACAAGACGTGATCTGAGCATCTGGGATGTCGAAGCTCAGCAGTGGCGTTTACGTCGGGGAACTTACACTGTATGGTCTGGGTCATCGAGCAGAGATCTCGTTCTGCAAGATACCATTGAAATTCAGTAGCGTGTAGTAGTCAGTTCTCGGGAGAGAGTTGCCAAATATTGAATGACATTTATTATGAAACTGCATCATTACCAATTTCTTTCTCCCCTCATTTTGCCGTTGACAAAGTAGATATGTCAAATTCACACCTTAGATGCTGACAGGTACAGTGCAAAATGATAACTCGAAAGGACGAAGCGTAGTCGAGGAGCCACATGCATGTCTCGTCGCGTGCATATCATCGATGCCACGCCACATGACAAAGACAATAGTCACCATGCGCTGACTAAGGTCGACTCGTTTGTTTTCTTTTCTACCTCTCAATCCTCTCGTCTTTTTCTTGTTTCCCTCACGAGTCACGACAAGCCACTGCAACTGCCCTACAGCATTCTTATACACATCCCGCCTCACCATGGCTTCCGAGTCATCTCAGATCAACCTCGATGCGGAGATTGTATATGAATATCATCGAATGCATATGGCTGTCAGTCCTGCTAGTGCCATTTTTTGCCTTTGCAGTCTCGACACACGCGTAGCTACACGCGCAGCACAGCTTTTTCTCGACGGATACGGAGATTATCTTATTTACTCGGGCGGATCAGGGAAGCTCACGGCGAATCGATTCACGGAACCAGAAGCCGAAGTGTTTGCAGGCATTGCAAAGAAGTTGGGGGTCCCGGCCAATAAGATTATCGTCGAGCCAAATTCCAGCAATACCGGCGAGAATGTTCGGTTCACCCACGCCCTTTTGAAAGAACTAGGGCTAGATGCCACTAGTTTCGTGCTAGTCCAGAAGCCATACATGGAAAGAAGAACATTCGCGACCTTCCGAAAACAATGGCCAGACCCCAAAACAGTGTTCACTGTAACAAGCCCTCAACTGGAGTTTGCCCAGTATTCGAATAAAGAAAATCCCAGAGACTTGGTTATTGAAATCATGGTGGGAGACTTGATGAGAATCCGAGAGTACCCGGCAAAGGGATATCAAGTTGAGCAAGAAATTCCTCCCGAGGTTTGGGAGGCAAACCAAAGGCTTATAGAAGCTGGGTACGACGGGCATTTGCCTTGATTAATACCTCAAGTTACCGATAGAATCTTGTCATTTCTTTCTATTGCGAGTCTGAATAGAAGCTCCTTCCTGCCAGGTACCTGACATTGTAGCATTGTTGATACTAAATGCTAAACATTACTTTCCCCAAAGTTTCTCTTTCACTCCTCATCTGGGCTTCCAAAGTCTTCCCTCGCCTGTGATGCAATAGTATCATCAACAAGCACTCTTACGGCAAGCATCGCCATACCCTTGGCGCATGTAAGGGCCGCCTTGTGAGCTTCGTCAGTTGCAGCAGCAGCCGCGAATTTGGGATTGTGGCCTGCCACATCTGGCGAGGTGGGGATGACGAAGGCGCCATGGAAGCTAGGCACGTGATACGAAACGTTTCCCATATCCGTCGATGCGTTGAATGGCTTTGCCTGATGAAGCTGGATTGTCTGCCCGATTGCCGCCATGTCTTCCACATATGCCTTGCAGAGTGTGTTGTTAGCTCGTAGGTTCATGTACGTCGGCGCTCTGTAGGAGCCGTATTAGTAAAGTCGCAAAAGTGGTAGCGGTCATGATATTTACACAATGTAGTTGATCTCGCAGCCCGTCGCTGCTGCGCCTGCTTCCAGGCATGCCTTGACTCTCTTCAACAGTGCATCAGCTCGCTCGATCGTTGGGCTGCGAACATTCCAATTCATACGGGTATAGTCCGTGATGACGTTGGGAACGGTGCCACCGACTTCGATTACACCATGAACTCTTTCGTCTGACTGGATTTGCTGCCTTAAGAGAGCCACGTTGTTGTAGGCCGCTACAGCTGCATCCAATGCATTCAGCCCTTTCCATGGCTCACCTGCTGCGTGAGCTGGCTTCCCGCGAAATTCAATGCGGAACTTGTGGCTTGCAATGAGCTTGAAGCCTGCCAGTCCCGAGGAACCATCTCCACTGCCGCCCTGGTGAGCTGCAGTTGGGTGTGCCATAATAGCGGCTGCGATATCCTCGGGTGGATTGAAGGCGCCAGCATCAATGAGCTTCGCTTTACCGCCACCCCCTTCTTCTGCTGGGGTACCGAGGATGCGTAGGCGGCCAGGAATTTTCAAGTCGACGAGTGCGCGAGCAGCTCCCAGAAACGCAGCAATTGAGGACGTTGCAATCAGGTTGTGTCCGCAGGCATGGCCAATGTCTGGCAGAGCATCGTATTCAGCGCAAACAACGACTTGGCGGCCGCCGGTGCCTATTTCGGCCTCGAAGCTCGTTTCGAGGCCATAGGTTTGCCTTTTCACAGTGAACCCTTGCTTTTCTAGATAAGTTGTGATTGTATCGTGAGCAAAGAACTCCTTGTATGCTGTTTCTGGGTTTGCGTGTAGTTGTTTGTTGATGTTGTTGTGAAGAGAAGAGTCCAGGTCATCGAGGTGTGCGTTGATGATCTTGCGGGCCTCTTCGAAGTCAAAAGCCACTTGCACTGGTTCGGGAACAGGGTTGGCGTTCTGTTGCTCCCCAGCAGCATTAGCGGCGACCGGGATCTGGATGATGGACATGGCGACCGAATCCGAAGTGTAAATCCCTTACGCGCAGCGGAATAATTAACAAGGAACACCAAAGCTGAGTGAGATGAAGCTCGGGATAGTGTAGAGTCTTCGATAAATGTAGAATACAATAATCTTCAAAGTCATTGACCACTCGTTGACTATGAGCAGACATATTATTTAGGTCTGCCTCCAACACATGTTTCCGTCATTACATTTGCTGGTGCGGACTGCGGAGAGCTTGCGCCTCGCAGCTGAGACGGGGGTGCCATCCATCGGCAATCGGTGCTTTCAGCCAGCCGACCAACAGACCCTCACGTCGCGGTCTCCAGACGTTTTCCAGATAGGCACGGATTACGGAAGATAGCCGATGGTCGGCAATTTTGGGATATTTTCATTCGACAAGCACTCGGCCGCTGTTCACCACACGTTATTGCTAATAGCCAAGTTCGTCACCTCGCTTTCAATCCAACAGCCAGCTTTTCTTATCATCCCTTTCTCCTGCTGATATTGTGAAATCCTCGTTCCATTTCCGTACTCCTCGTCGGCTAATTTGACTCTTCATGAGTTCCGACGGGAACGCGCCCCCAACGCATCTCAGTCATATCATCCACAGTTCCCACTCAAACTGTCCTTTGTTCCCCAGGCGTGTCAACGAAGTGTGTTCTTCAGTTGGAAACCCGGTGAAACACCCCAGCCCTCAACCTCCACTCAGGTGCTTCCGCTGGAATTCTATACTCGCCGATACAGCCGACCTCGAATCAATTGGTTAGACGACTACCAATGTGCGCTTCTCCCTCCGAAGCCGATGGGAGCTCACCCGGCAGCACAAGCTCAGTATCAGCCGACGGTCTCCCCAGTATTGCCGATGAACGGCCCTCCCTCGACGCGGCCGGATTTGTCGGTACAACCGCGTCCGCGGCGGCCGCGGCGGCGCGCACGGGCGAGGGTCGGAGTGGACCACGTTCGAGAAACGGGTGTTGGACTTGCCGCACAAAGAAGGTGAAATGTGATGAGCAGCGGCCAAATTGTCATCGTTGCACACGCCTGCGACTTCTTTGCGACTATGCACCTCGCGTCAAGCTTACAAAGAGGGGCAAAACACGCAAAGACCGGCTCTTCTCGTCTCACCCCGTCGCGTCCATGTCGACTTCTTCGTCGGCTGGAGGAAACAGAACGTCGCTCAGCTTGCCGACATGGGTGCAGACAGTGTCTCAGCTCGACCAGTCCAAGGCTCTATCTCTGTTCAATCCCTCGGCTCCGGCTATGGGGGCTTGCTCACTTGATCTTTCGTCGGCTGATCATGAGGCAATCCGGTACTTTCGCACGTCCTTCGCCAAGCAGAACCACACTAAGAACCCGGACTACTCACTGTATTCCATCATGTTCGACATCGCCCAGACCGATCCTATGGTCATGCATGTGGTGCTTGCCCTTGGCGGCCGGGAGCTGGAATTCCGGCGCAACAAGAATGCAGAAGAGGCACGTGGCCCAAAGACACCGATTCAACATTATTCTTCCGCACTTAGAATGATGGCCGACACCATCGGAGGCGAGGATAACGGTCAGCTGGATCTGGACGCAGTCTGTACAGGACTGTATCTCATGCTTCTCTACGAACAAAAGTATGGAGATGGGAAGTGTCAGGGCTTGTCCAATCATCTTGTCGGCGCAAGCTTGATATTACAACACCGCTTCAAGGATTTACTCCTCCAGTTACCGGCTCCCTCACCGGAGGCGAATCGGAAAAGTTTAGCCCTCACGAGGCGAGGACAAGATGCGAGCGGTTCCCGCCTTTCGCTTTACTCAGCAAGAATGCTTGTTTGGATCGCGCTACACGATGCCGCTGCCGCATCATACGGCCTTGGCGGGCAACTCAATTGCGCTCTGCACAAAATCATGAGTGCCCTCGATAGCCAAGTTGGCAGTGGGATATCCAGCCCCTTTCAGCCGCTTGACGCCTTCGAGAGATTGCACCGTTTCTCCAATCCACTTTACCGGAATATGTGGGCTGATTCGTACCCCCAGGCAGAGCTTCTCGACGACGTAGAGAATCGGAATGTATACGCTCTTCTGGGAGCATGCGGCCAGTTGCGCTTCATGATTGCCCAGCTTGCTAATCTCATACATGAAGATGATGCTTCGCAACAACAGCGCGTCATGGCTGTCGATATGACCATTCAACAAGTGGGCTGGAAATTCACTGAACTACTGGAGGTTGCAGCAGAGCTTTCCATCAGTACGGATAACTCACATCGGCTGGTAGCCAACATTCGCGGCATCGTGCCTCACTACCATGCCGTCGTTCTCGAATTCCTCCGTTTGACGCGATTTGATGCAACACCAATGCTCTCGGCTCGGCAACGAAACGCTTTACGGGAGATCATGAATCTAGCTTTCCAGGCCTTCAAGCATGAAGGCGATGAGGCCATGACACGTATCGCGTGGCCACTTTTCATGGTTGCTCTGGAGACAGACGACTTACTACACCGCGAATGGGTTATCAGCCGTTTTCAGGCTATGAGTCGATTTAGCAAGAACCTCGACCGGGCCCATATCTTTCTCAAGGACATCATAGAGATGCAGAACAGTCTTGCGAGACGGGTAGACGTCCGCGAACGATTCCAATCCGGTGAAGTGGGCCTCTTCGTTATCTGAGCCACCAGCATCAGTTCGGTATATGCCCGGTCGGTCTCCCTAAGCAGGCTGATCTAGCGTCTCCGCCACGATAATCATGATTTTCTAAAGGCAGAGTCCGGCATGTTTCCCCGCATTGTTGAAGGATGACATGGGCCGGCACGGCGGACATGTGGATCGGCTATCAACTATGGCTATCAGTGACAAGTTGATCAGCCACTTGCCAAAGGCATCGTGTTGGAACACGACATCCGGGCAACGAGCTCTTGTTCCCGTGATGGCTCTACTATCAACCCCACAATACCTGCGCATGTGGGCAATATCGACACCTTTCGTATGGTTCCTGACCGAGGCCGGACATCCATGGATGTGGATTGGTTTGCACCAATCACATTTAAGCTTGAACAGCTTGGAACAACAGGTGAAGACGGCACATATATAACATCGACCTCGTCCGCTTATCGAAGTCGCAGTCTCACTCAAGTCCAAGGAGGCTCGCATCAAAACTTGCCCCTGAAATTTGTGTATTTCCCTTCACAATCCGCAAATTGGTTCATCCTACTTTACCCTTCAATATCTCAGAGAAGGATGGCAAGCCTTATCTTGGCATCGGTCCAGCCGATGAGACCTTGAAAGATATTGATGAAGGCACAACCTCGATCCGGGGTCTGGCCCACAGCGAAGACAGGAGGATATTGCGAAGGATCGACATGTGGTAAGGAATCCTGTGGCAACCTCTACCCTGGTGATACGTCTACTAAGTTCAAGCCATAGTCTTCTACCAGTAATGGCCATGTCGTACCTTTTTCAGTTCCTTGACAAGTCAGCTCTTAGCTACACGACCATCATGGGCCTGCGGGATGACTTGCATCTAACTGGCTCCGAATACTCATGGGCAAGTAGTATTTACTACTTCGGTTATCTCATTGCTTCGTACCCTGCAGGAGTCATGATGGTTCGACTTCCTGTCGGTAAGATGATTGCCGTCTCGGTGTAAGCACTTTTTCCTGAGCAACAAATCTGGGAGATGTGACTAACCGGCAAAGCCTTGTTTGGGGAATTGTTCTCATGTTTACTGCGCTTTGCTCCAATGCTGGCGGTTTACTGGCAAACCGAATCATTCTAGGGATTTCTGAGGCCGCTATTGCGCCAGGTCTCAGCATCGTCATCTCCATGTGGTACAAACGCTCAGAACAGCCGCTGCGACATGGCGCCTGGTTCCTTGGCAATACTGTTGCCGGTATTTTCGGTGGAGTTGTTGCTTACGCTATTGGCCATGTCGATAGCATAGCCCCATGGAAGGCATGCACTTCACCTCCAATTCGCCGCCGAATGAGTTGCTGACTCTTGCGAGCATAGGCCGTATTTCTTATCTTTGGCGGAATCACTACAGCCTGGTCCTTTGCTATCTTTTTCCTCTTGCCTGACACACCAATGAAGGCTCGATTTCTCAGCGAAGCTGATCGAATCAAAGCGATTGAACGGGTTGAGAAAAACCTGACGGGGATCAAAAGTGATACGTTCAAGTGGTATCAGTGCGTTGAGGCCTTGACTGATATCAAGGCTTGGCTTCTCTTTGGCATCCAAATCAGCGCCCAGATTGCTAATGGTGGCGTCCACGGGTTCGGGTCCATCGTAATCAAAGGAATGGGCTTCAGTACTCTCAACACCCTGCTTGTACAGATGCTGGGGTCCGTCTTCCAGCTCGTATTCGTCTTCATGGTCACGGGAGGAAGCACTTACTTCCGCAACAGCCGCACCTATTGGATGGCATTGAACCTCGCAATCTCAATTGCTGGTGCTGCCATGGTTCGCCAGATAGAATCGGAACTCAAGTGGGCACGGTTTATGGGGTACTGCCTCACGATCGCGTACAGTGCCAACTTTCCCATGATCCTGTCCGTGTCCTCTGGCAACTTTGGCGGATTTAACAAGAAAACTACAGTGAATTCAATGGTATGTACGGCATTTCACGCTCCGTGGATACGAAACTGATTCAATTCCAACAGATATTTATTGCCTATTGTGCCGGTAACATCATCGGTCCGCAACTCTTCTTCGAGTGGGAAGCACCTTCTTACAGCTCCGGTTTCTTGGCCATGTTGATATGCTACAGTCTTGGAGTCTTGATGTGCTTCATTCTTCGTTACTATCTAATATGGGAAAACAAGCGACGCGACAGCATTGGAGAGGAGCTTGACACGGGTGTTGGAAACGACGTGTCCCTGAATCTGCTTGATAAAACGGACAAGGAAATCCCCCAGTTCAGATACGTCTACTAATGTTGTGGCATGTAGGTGTCTAGGGGTAGATTAGGTCCCAGAACTGCTGTTTGTTCCGAAGCTTTTTGGGTATTTTCAGAATCTAACAATGGTCAAACATTTCCTGGGCCAAGCATCATGTGCAGACTCTGTGCAATTTATGCGGCCATGGAGAGTCCACTGGCAAGACCTTCACAGCTCCCATACAAGCGGCTCCTCGTCTCTCAGTGCGCGCCATTTGTTGGTCGCTCTCATGACATCCTCGCAACCCTTGAGCAGAAAGCTCCATTTCTCGACAAATTTCTCCGTGACCTCCCACCCATTAGGATGCCAAGGGTCTGACCAAGCAATGATACCTGGTTGATCAAGACATACATCGCCTTCTTGACATCCCACCAGATCAGTACAAATGTCATGCTGGCTATACTGATCACGAAACTTGATGGCATTATCGCGCATGCCACCCGACGGGAATATATCAATCCAACATTCGTGAGGGGTCGAGCTTTGTGTGGGAGTAGGCATCAAAGTCTCTGGCACTTGACATGGTGTCGGAAATAGTGGTGTTGTGTGAAGGTCTGGTGTGCATGGGCTGGTGAGCAGAGATTTAAGAGATAGAATGTGAATGTTGGTGATAGTTGCCCTGAAGACATTGTAGTAGACCAGCGGGATGAGGTGATCCTTATACAGAGGGAACCAAGTAGTGGGATTCTGGAAGTAAGGCGTAACACGCTTCGTTGAGCGCGACATGCCATTATTATGGTGACTGGTAGGTCGCTGTATCTGTGTACGAATCTCACCTCCGTCAGAGCGAGGCCTTGGACAGCGACACGCTTCAGATGGGGGCTGCGTCGGTGGGGCCCAATGTATGAAATCTAGACTTGTTCCCGAGCTCAGAATGGGCCGCGAGTCTTTGTGAGAAGAATCATGTGACCTATCAGCCGTTGATGCTTTCGTCTGCTCATTTTGATACAATTCGAGGGCCTTTCGCTTCCCTGTGAGCCGCGTAAGCTTTGTCTCGGTAGTACTGAGTCTGGTTGGGGCTCCTCATACTGTAAGCTCTGACGTTGAGGCGATTCTGTCTTTTGCGTCTTTCCGCTCGATCCCGAAGACCAGACCAGTCATCGTCACGGCATTGTGCTTCCGAGAAGTGAAGCATGGAACCCGAGACAAGGACTCCTGGCTCCGCCTCCAGAGCGTTCATTGCTGAACGGATCAAGATGGAGAGGCTGACGCGGCGTCGGAGTCGAAGCCGAGTCAGTGGTTTTTGGCGAAAGACAAATCGCGACTATTGATCAAGGCAATCTATGGAGATAGAATATGAATTTGAGTGAAGCGCGTTGATGGAATCCCAGACGAAGTTTTCTGTTGGACCCTGCCTTGCCTGCCTAGGCTGCGTCAACTCCCAAGGGAGTGTTTGCTCATTCATCCTCTGGGGGGCGGAGCTTCTGCAATGGGCTTACAACGCTTTCCCTCTTCCGGACGAACGTTAGCCTGAGATGGTCAAGACCAATGACAGTGCTTTTCTATGTGGAGTCTTGTTGTCGTGATCGTGGATGTTTTAATTCGTTCTCCCTTCCATCTTCGTGCCAGGCTCTGAGGTCCACGTGGAAGTCCGTGTCGGTCGGTACCTTAATATGCCAGCAAGGATTCGGAAGCCGTCGGAGAATTTCATCCTAAAGGAAACCCGGAGAACAATATCGGGTTTAAACCTGTCCTCTCTATGTCAGATTCTCTCAGGACGAAGTTGCGGCTGGAGTTTTGCCAAAGACCCCATGATCTTGACGGGCAAGCAGCACGGTAGTTCAATACTCCGATCTAGAGGCCTTTGTACATCATCCAGCAGAGTTTGACGACATTGGAACGTGAACCTGCAAGCATTGTTGGGCAAGATATTTCAAAGCGCCATACGCTGTCTTCGTCATTGACCTTGTGGCGACTCTCACGAGCTGAATGCTTTGACACAGATCCGCGATCGAAGGTAATCGACGTAAAGGTGAGGACACTACAGTCATCCTGCAATGAACCACATTTGCCAACCCATAATCAACGTTAAGCATTTTGCTGACTTGCGAAAATTTTATCCAATTTCTATTGACATCAATCATGTAAGTAACTGAGGGCACAAGATTCCGAGCTCGATTGATGTCCGGATGGCTGATGGCCAACCATATCTAGCCATGGAGCGTGGCTTGCCACCGCAATGATTAATCATTCGGTGAACATTCACAAACTCAAGATGGGGCAAACGCGGCTGAACATGGGATTCTTTCGTCTTGCATAGCCCGAGTGCTAAGTTGCAAGGATGTACAGAGTTATTGGCCAGCCAAGCCAGTCTTTGCGCAGCTGATGGCCGCATTGGTAACAGCGTCGTATCTGATCTCGACCACATGTCTCAGTGCTTCCGCTTTGCGTCTAGCTGATCTAGTCTCATTTCTTTCACATACCACGCGAACTCACACCTGTGTTGTTCGTGGGGGGGCGAGAAGTGTGCCTAGCTTAGAACCATGGGCTTGGGATGGGCTTGGGATGGGAGGCTGGACTCGTCTGGCTTCGCTCTGGACCCTCCTGTCAACAAATCTCCCATAGGCACGCAGCGAGCCGGTGCTGCATCCCGATAGGAGCTGGTGAAGCTACATCTAGACCATCTCGTGAGCAGGTCTTGACCCCACCGCCATCAAGTATATTACACTCACGTTGGTCTTCCCTTCGAAGCGTGGTGTAACGCTCACCAGTATCCTCTCTTCGACAGTCTTTCAGTTGCAACTCTCGCGTAGGTGTTTCGGTTTTCCCCGGGGGCACTCTGAAACATCTTCTGGCATTCAAGAGCAACTCCTAGTTGGCAAATTGATCGACTATTCAGCCACAACCCGGCTACTTCCATGGTCATGATGAAACCTATCAGCACCACCGCAGCTTTCCTAGCTCTGCTGTCAACATCTCAAGCACAAATACCAAAAGTCAGCGGCTTCAACTTGGCGTGGTACGACGATTTCAGCGGCAAGGCCAACACGATTCCAGACCAGAATAACTGGATCATTGACACTGGTACCGGTTATCCTGGCGGTCCAGCAAATTGGGGCACCCAGGAAGTCCAGTCATACTCCAACAGTCCTCAAAATATCCGAGTCAATGGCGCTGGCAATCTTCATATCACCGCCATCAAGAACCCTTCCACAGGCGCATGGACTTCCGGGAGGATTGAGACTCGCAGAGCCAATTTTATGGCGCAACCGGGGAAAATCATGCGGATTCAGGCTAGCCTGAAGATCCCGAATCTAGGAGGCAACGCCGGTATTGGCTACTGGCCCGCGTTCTGGACCCTGGGCGCTGAATATCGTGGCAACTACTGGTAGGCTTTTTGACCCCGGCCTTCTCTAGACCTTTAGTCTAACCCATTTTGTTTAGGAACTGGCCGGCAGTTGGTGAGATCGATATCATGGAAAATATCAACAATCTTGACCGCGCTTATGCCGTCTTGCATTGCGGTACCAACCCTGGAGGCGCTTGCAATGAGCCATCTGGCCTCAGCGGGTACCGTTCTTGCCCTGGAAAGTCCTGCGCTGGAAACTTCCATACTTTCACTGTAGAAGTCGACAGATCAAAGTCTGTAGAGGCACTTCGCTGGTATGTCGACGGCGTTCAGTTCCACCAGGTTCTTCAATCAAAAATGCCGGTCGCCACCTGGAAGGGAACTGTACAGAAACCGCACTTCATTTTGCTGAACATGGCCATTGGTGGATCTTTCCCCAATGCAATTTACGGTTCAAAGACACCTCTCAGTACCACTTTGTCGGGCGGGACGTACGAGGTCGAGTATGTCGCCGTGTATTACACTTGATCGCTGTTCATACATGTGCTGGTTTGCGATTTCTTCAAGACTCTGTACCGATGTTTTCTTTGTTTCACTTTAGATATCAGGATACCACAATAGATATTACTCTAGCTTTTTACTTGAATATTGTCAGATTTCAGCTTCGCCCATCTGGGGCACTTTCCTCGCCCCCGACGAATCGATGACCGAGATGAACGAGTTCCTGCGCTAGATAGTTGCGGAGGTCTATTTCTAATAGTAAAATCTACGTGGCAGTTGGCTGTTCCATTCAATTTCGTCCAACAATGATGGGCAGCCATGGTGGTCTTCAATCTCCATGCATCTCCAAACCATGATCCACATGTAGAGCTACATGCATTGACGCGTAGGTAGACGGTCGAGTTTTTTCAAACTCTTGATATCCTCAGTCACTTTATTACATTCGAATACTTCCAATCAAAGACGTCCTTGCCCAAATCCTTGTACTTAAATATCTTCTTCCTTACGGAGCGTCGCCACAATGAAGTGAGCGACCGTTGCAGGCCAGTGTGAGGCTGTCCACTAGCACAACAGGCACACTGTGTTGAGGCCGAGCGTCGATCCAGGGACAGCGCCGTTCTATGACGACATGCACGAGCTTACACTGTAACCCAAGGACGTAACGGCAGCCTTCTTTTGACGACACTTCCCCATCTCCAAATGACTGACTTATCACAATCATGCACTTGGGTAGATGTAAGCAACCATTAAAAGCCATATTCTATGCCTATAATACTCGCTTGAGGCCAGTCAGCAGTCACTTTGTGCCGCGCAGTTTGTTCATCATGAAACGCACTGCTACAGCTGCAAACCTGTCCAACGGAAGCAAAAGTGTTAAGAAACCACGGCCGGCAGTATCCGAATATCACTTGACCCCCTCAGTAAGAGATGACGATGGCGAAATTGTGTGGCCAGCGTCAGAGGAGAAGATGGAGGAAGCAAGGGCCTTCGTCCGCGAATGGTATGATTGGGGATTTCATGATTTCAACACTCGCTTCTGCTAAAGAATTTGGAGCAAATGGTGATTTCCTCCCATGCTAGGTTGCTAACTTATGAATAGTGTTTCTGCCGGAAAGCCTACCTTGATTGTCCCAGACAAAGACGCAGACGGCCTCACCTCTGGGGCCATCTTGGAACGTACTCTCGTTCTTCTCGGTCTAGATTCATCTCTCATCACTGCATACTTACCTCCAAAGGGCCATAACATCCATGACGAAGCATGCCGGTCAGATATGGCTTCTCTCAAGCCTACCTACATCTTCATCCTAGACCAAGGCTCTCGCTCTTCACCGCCTATCATAGACGGTCCCCATCGTGGCATAGTCATCGACCATCATCACGCATTGAAAAACGACCACCCGAAAGACGCGTTGCATGTTACAGCCTGCGACTCCCCTCCCGTCGCGACAAGCTCTCTACTCACATACCTCATCTGTCGAGATCTCCACGAGGGCGTGCAAGAAGCTTGTGACTGGCTGTGCATCATGGGGACTCATGGAGACTTGGGAAATACCTTGAAGTGGGAACCTCCATTTCCCGATATGAAGTCCACGTTCAAAACGTACACAAAAAAGGCTCTCAACGACGCCGTATCACTCATCAATGCCCCAAGACGAACAGCATCGTACGATGTTCCCTCAGCTTGGAAAGCTCTCCGTGCGTCAAAGTCGCCAAGGGAGCTGCTGAATAACAAGTCCCTGCTCATCGCTAGGGCAGAAGTCAACGCCGAGGTCGAACGCTGCACCCACACGCCTCCCAAATTCTCTGCCGATGGTCGCATCGCCGTCTTTCGCATCAGCTCAGAGGCTCAGGTTCATCCCGTCATCGCTACACGCTGGGCGGGCCATCTATCTTCGTCTAAGCTCGAGGTGTTGTTGGTTGCCAATGAAGGGTACTTGCCTGATATGGTGAACTTTTCGTGCCGTGTCCCACGCTGTGCTCGAGCCAAGGAACCTCCGGTTAACATTATCGAAGTCTTGAAGGATGTCGCTTCTCGCGCCGAAGACTCGACTTTGAGGGAGCGGTTGGGCGACTCATTCGCGAGGGGGCATAAGGAAGCGAGCGGCGGGATCGTGCCCAAGGCTGAATTTGAGGAGCTGATGGCTGTGTTGGAGATTGGGAAGAAGGTTGAAAGAGAATCTCCAAAGAAAGGGCAGAAGCCAGGGCAGGCAAATACTTTGTTGAACTATTTTGGAAAGAATTAGAGACCATACATGGGGTGGAAAGAGTTAGGTCTTCGGGTTCTGCTGACCGAAATTATTCGCGTTATTTTGGTCTTTGTGATTTTTGCATCGACTACCTTACACCCCATAATGCCGTCTTCTAGAGTATCCTATCGTCAAGGCCCTCCTTGGGTCGCAAAAGGATGTCTCCCAAGGTTTTCCACGGTCTATTGACCTCGACCTCGCGTGTACTTCGATGACGTGCCCAAGCGGTGGCCCGGTTGGCCCGAATGACGCCCATGTCTCCCCAAACGATGTAGGATGCAATGTCGTGGGCACTGCCTGGCCAGGGGCCAAGTGTATCTCAAACTTGTTCGGCATTCTTTGTCTAAACCTATCGTATTCCATAGGAATCAAAGTTGGTCTGCTCGGAAATCTGTCAAAGCTGGGTACACGTTGACGTCGGTCTTTCCGCCCTGGAAGGATCAGCGTGATGCAGCCTAGCTTCCACTCGCCCATGGTTGTCTTGGTCATTGTTTCAACACCGAGAAAGTTGTATTGCCTGGCATTGCATTTTATTGGATTTCATATTGACCTTGAACATGTGTAATTCTCAAGAAGGGTTGAAGGCGCCCTTCGTTGGTTTCATGCCGGAATGGATGGGTCGTTGAAGGTGCGTCGCTGAATCATGACTGTAGGCCACTCGCGTAAATGATTCCGCAGAGCTTCTTGGTCTGATTCACAGATATTGTGAGTTGGGTCCTCTAGATCGAAATTAAATTCGTATCTCTGACAAGGGCTAACATCCAGACCCCGTGATCGTTAAATATCTAAACGGGCGAGAACGCTGCTTTGGTCTCGAGAGCTGAATAACTACTCTCACCAATACAACAGACGACAAAGCTACTGGGACAAGTTCACAAATCAATGATTCGATAGTGAGTCTCAGCTTCCGCCAACCACTTTCATTTATTTGTGGCTGCTTTCCGGGGTCAACTGTTCTCCCACACTCTAACTGCGTTGAACAAGGTCTGGGTGGAGAGGTAAAGCGCCCCGAAACCCGGCATACTATGCACGGATACACCTCACATTCAATCCCTAGTCACACTCAAATGTCACGAATGACGTTGAGGAAACGTTGGTTTGATCCCACAACGCAAGGTTAACCTCCCCCATCAGTTGGGAACCGAACTCTGCTCGCCTTCCGATTCTAAAGGGGCCCCACACGGGCCACCTCCGGGGTGGAACCCCATCGCCGATCATGAGCAACGCTGCGAATCGCGCATCGGGATCGCCCGCAAGGATCACTTCACGTTCCCAGCTTTTATGTTCTGGTTCCCCGGGGCGGTCCCCACAGTTTATCCGGATCGCTGCATCCGGAGACCTTTCGCTTTCCACTGCCAACTCCGGCGATGCCCCACTCAGCCTTACACGTTTGGCCCTCCATTGACTGTATCAGGACTTGGGTGAGCCACTCGCCCTAGGTCTAGATCGCGGAAGGCCTGACTGGTTCACTTTCTACACCTCGCATGAGCATTGTCAATCACCATGAACAGAGAGCCAATAAATGTACACAACTCTTGGTCATCGTGCGCTCAGCACAACGACTGTTGTCAGATTCCGTTCTCCGGGTATACCTATGCTTAATGATAATAATACAGTTACAAAAATGTGGGCTGAATGTCAACCAGCTATGGGTCCTATTTGCGTCTTGACGCCTGTTCCTGATATGTTCCTGTGTTCCATGTTTTTATTTCTTCCTGTCTTTATGCAGTTGCTGTCTTCCTTGAAGTGAAGCGATGGCCCCAGTCCCGTATTCTTTTGGAGAAACTCCTCTTCATAGGCGCGGGCTCGGGCACCTTTTCGAGCGCGCCCAAATCATCAGACTCGGCCGCGTTGTCGGTGGTCACCGACTCGCCCCCAAGCTTTGTTTGACGGCGCTGCATGAAGGCGGCTCCAGATGAAAATGTCCTCTTGGGTGCGACGACTGATGTGGGCTGAGTTACAGTTTGTTGTTGTACTAAAGGTGGGGAGGAAATCCGGTTCATCTCTCTCGTTGACACCGGAAACGTTGATGACCGACTCTGGCAGCTGCTGCCGCTAACAGTACGAGACTGCGCGGGTCGGGACGTTCCCGGAATCGGAGACGCTGCCGAAGATGCCCAGCCTTGGCCATGGCGGAGTGATACCCAGACGGACGTCACAGTGATGAGAATTCGAGTCGCTTCATCGACTGGGTGGGTCGCTCGTTGTGTCACTCCGAGGGATGTCGTTGGGGGCGATGGAATTTCCTTGTCGCCGCTCAGATCCATGCTGAAAGGGCGCGTAGGAGGATAGCGCCCTGATGATTGCGATACGGTAGTGTAATTATCCAAGATTTCGAGGTTAGCCGGTGTCAAAGTTGCCATGACGGGGTGTCGACGAAGCTGAGGATCGAGGATGCTGAAGGTGAACTTGTAATCCGAGGGAGCGGGGGTCGATGCTGCGGTGCAGGTCGCCGTGGACAGAGGCCGGGCACTACGTCTGGCCCATCTTGCAATTGTCGTTTGGCCGGCTTCATCGACGTGGACGAAGTCGTACGACCCATTGCTGGTTTGGGTAGCCGTCCACACTGAACCATCCGCCAAAACAATCTCGGTCTGTTCACAAGAATCCCTTCGCTCGCCCTCTTTCCGCGACGAAACTGGCGAGATGACGGCCACCAAGTCGCGCTTATCGAGATCCTTGTCGTCGGAGTCAGAGCCGTCGGCGTTATTGTCATAGTCCTCACTCTTGGCCAAGATGAGACCGTTCATGCCCAGTTGTCCCTTGACTCTGAACATCTTGGGGAAACGTCGTGCGAGGCGGGGAAGGATGACTGTCCCAGCGATCATGCTCGAGGGGACGACGTCGATGGCGGGCATGGGCCGCTTATCGTTCGACAGTTGCTGCAGCTGGAGGAGAAGTCGCGGCCGGATGGAGACGAAGCGTCTCTGCTTCGTGCGAAGCTTTGGAGGAGGGTAGGCCAGCATGTAATTGGTACATTGCCTTGCAGCTCGCCTTGATCTTTTGGATCTTATGACAGTGCTGGTATCGCTGATCTCCGATACCAGGCTGCCTTCATCTTCGCTCACGCCATCGAGGCCGTGTACTTCCTCGCCTACAACGGTAGGTTCTTCCTCGAAGCGTACGACGAGGTCCTTTCTTTGGACGAAGTCGGAAACCGGTCGGATTCTGCGTACGGGGCGAGCGGCGGCGGCGGCGGGCTCTTGTAATGAAAGGCGTCGGCTGACACGCTGGGTCGGCGTCTCGGTCTCGTCGGTCGAGAATGACGATCGCTGAAGCGGCGATGCGCCTAATGATGAGCGTAGGAGAATATGCCTGCGCGCAGGCTGATTGCCGCTGGCAGCGGTCTTGTTGGAGTATTCGTGCCCATGCAGGCTTGCGCCAGAATGGAGAAACATGATGGTGGTCTGGGATTTAGTGACACGGCGTTGATGAAATCATGGACGCGACCAAGGCGAGGTTCCCAATTCCAACCAGCGTACGGTTTCGCAGAGGATCGTATTCCAGTAATTCCCAGGTGGAAATGCAGGCAGGATAGCCGGTGTGGTTAAGTCAAGCGACTGGGTAAAGGTTGGATCGTCTTATGCGAGGGGTATGAATCTCAGGCAAGCTCTCCACTTGCAGCTGGTCGAAGAGGGGTGGATGCTGATGCTGATGCTGGTAGCGGTGCAGTGCAGCTCGGGTCCTGGGGATTCCGTTCTAAGTGGTTTAATACCGCAAGGTGTCTTACACTGGCCTCGAAGTGTGCTCGGCGTGGGATCGATCGCTACGGTGACTGGCAAGTTTGGTCGACACGACGACAAGTTTGAATGATTGCGGTAGAGGCGTTGGGTGAGGCAGACAACAGAACAAAGAATAGAGAGAAATAGGGGACGTCGGTGCTGCAGAGCAAGTTGTGGAGGGAATGAGCGGCCTACAAGTACATCATCTAGCGTCAGCCCAGAAACACCTTCTCTGACGAGGTTCAGGGAGCTATGCTGTATTTGGCGGGGGTGCAGAACAGAAGGCTTTTGAATGGCTTGACTCGTGAGCGGTCAGTGGCCCCAGAACCCAGTTGGCCCTGTGTGTCCGTGGGCGCGGGATGGGCTGAGCTGAGGTGACAAGAGCAAGGAGAAAGGCGAGAGGCTTACCAGATGCTTGAAAAGTAGCGTTCGATGTCCAATGGGATCGTGTGATGGCGGGAACAAGACTTGATTGACCCAAGGTGCGTATTCTCAAAAGGAGGAGTGATGATGGAAACCCGCCTTGCAGAAGAGAGGGGAATCGATGTCTCGTCAATCTGGGCGAGTTGAGCTGAACGGGTCGGGATTCGTTTACCGCGTACCGGCTGGCTTTCCGAAGTCGACGCAAGAGTGAGTCCGAGTCGTGAGAAACCTGCAGCTAAATATCGTTCGTTTCTCGTGAAAGTCGTGGAGCAGGTTTGTATGTTGTATACACTATATGAGCGAGAAGGAGACCGAAAAGGTGAAGGAGATATGCGAGAGCAGTTTGGCGAGGGGGTCTAAGACGCAGGAGAGAGGTTGGAGGCAGGTCAGGGAGAAGGAGACGGCCACCAGGGTCCAGATGTATAGATGTAAGTTGATGGAAAGGCGGATGCAACAGCAGGCTAGTGCAGTCAAAGGCAAGGGTGTCGAAGGTTAACTCGGGGAGGCGAGCTATTGTATCCGAAGAGCAGGTTGGAAAAGACGGTAAGGTGTGTACCCCATTCGTTTGTGCCGGAATGCGAAGTACCTTTACCGGGGGGGGTAGGTAAACGAAGGGACTTGACAAAGGCGAGGCGAGGATGTGAAGTGTATTAGAGCCGATTTGCGAGGTGGGGAGAGATGGAGGGACGGAGCCGGAAAGGATGATATCAGGGCTCTTTATTTTGGCTTTCTCTCTCAGGTGTCCAGCGAGTGTCGGATGCGCTGTGGAGGGGGAGTACCTCAGGAGGGAGAGTGCAGATCGAGTGGGTGGTGGGTGTTCACTGTGGGTGAGTGGGTGTGGGTGTCCGAGTGCCGTCTTTTGTGGTGGCCGAGAGGAACAGACGGAACAAAGTAGAGTGCTCGAAGCAGAAGAGAGGGAGTCCCTGTCTTTCTCAAGAAACGCGGTCGCAGACGCAGCGGGAACCTGGACTTGCAGGTGGAATGGTCGCCGTTTGGTTTGGTTTTTGGTTCGGCGGACTACGTAAGGTATCCATTCACAGTAGAGTCGGGGTACGTACACACTGCCGGGTGCGAGGGTTGCGTTAGAGAAGAGGAGAGCAGAGAAAGGATGTGTGTTGCCTCTGGGGCAATAACAGGGCGAACCGGCCTGCCGTCGGAGAAGAGAAGAAAGACGGGAGTGACGGAGGAAAGAAAGTTGCGAGGTTGGGCGCCGAGAGAGGAACGGAGATGGAAAATGTGCGAAAGAGAAGAGAAAAAAGAGACCCGACGGGAGCAGAGACGAAGTTCAAGAGGGAACTTGGAATGGAATGGGGAAGAGGGCGAAATTTGCAAGGTACGGGATGAGGTACGGGATGAGGTACGTATTTTCAGGTGGAAGAGCCGTAGCGGAGATATGTATTGAGTACGTACCTTTTCTTCGGTTTATGTTCAATTTTCAGGAGGAAGTGACGATGTCAAGACGACCTGCCCAGGAAGGAACGCGACCAGGGGGGAGAATGGGGGGAAGAACCTTAAGGACCCGAAGGAAATTATGGGCAAGAGCGATGCTGCTCAGTACCTGCCTCACGAATACAGGTACTACCCACGCTACCTCAGTGCAGTGGAGGCCATCTGGGCATGACGGGGTGACGAGGCACTGGGAGGCGAATTCCGGCTGTCTCTGCTGTGTTGTAAACTTATGCAGGTAAGTGCATATTGGATGCTGCAGCCTGTCACTGTCAGTGAGGTAAGTCTGACATATGCGCTGCCAGTGCTCCAAGCAATGCTCTGAAGTTCTTGGGTCTTTGGGAAGAGGGCAGTACCTACTTGCGATCCCTTTTGAGAATGTACTTGCGGGCGGATACGTACCTCTATTGCAAGAGACGACCGGGCGGCGCAAAGTCCCTCAAAGTGGAAATTCAGGGGAAGCATCGTGGAAGGCCAGGAATGTAATTCGCAAAAACCTCGCTGACTCCGACATACACATTATCATGCATACCTTCGAATACAGACTCATACTCTCATGCCTCTCAGATATCCTCTCAGGTATCCTGCTATGAGTTCTACTGGCCATCAGAAGCCCCAGTCAAGCCAAGCAAGCCAAGACGCACCAGATGAAATCATGGATATTGTACTCCGTACGTTCCTTCGCTCTATCGTAGCTTCATCCATCTCAATCCCATCATCGTCGCCATCAAGCCAATTCCGCGCTACAATGCCCCGTCCATCGAACGACTGCTAACAACGGACTGCCCGCCATCGTGGTGACGACGGTGACATGGCCAAACCCGTGCCGTAGTGCGAACCGCAAAGGCCCCTCCCTCTGGTTCCTCTCCTCTGCATCACACCAAACCACCCTGTTTAGCTGCCTCTCTCTCTCTCTCTCTCTCTCTCTCTCTCTCATCGACGCGAAACTCTTGCTTTGCGTCGTTAACGTATTGATCGGCCCAGCCTGGCCTGGTGGCTTTTGTCTGCCTTCTCATCTAGCCCGGCCGCTTCGACATGGCGTCGCCTGGCCCAGTCTTTTGCGGAATGTGCTGTGCTATTTTGTGCTGCAAATTCAGCCATGCTTACTCAGACAAGTAACCAAAAACTGAAAAGAAAAAAAAAAGAGGCCCCACGACGATGACAAGGTACCGAACGCCGCCTCCACATCGTCTCTGCATCGGCTCGTCGGCGAACTGCGAGACCCTAGATCGGACGGGACGGGGTTCCCTCTCCGACCGTCTCTGACGGGACAGAGTCCTGACCTCGCAGCTCCAACTCATTCGCAGTTTGCCCTTTGTACGGGTACTGCTTTCCACTGCCCAGCAGGACCGTCAGTAGCTAGCTCCCTGACGAAGGAGGGGCCAGATCCAGATCAGTGCTGAAGGCCACAAGCCTCTCTTTGCGTATCAGGTCCTTCTGTGCGTCTGTCTAGAAACTTGCCTTGCTTCTTTGCTGGAATACTGTATCCGTAGAACAATCCACATGTGTGTTGCACAGATGATGACAGACAGCAAACTGTGTTTGTGTTTGCGTCGTGTTTGATGGGCGTCGCCGGTGAGGGCTGGACCTCCTGAGATGGTTGCTCGACATCTTCAGCCTTTGGAGCTTCCCCTCATCTAACTCTGAGGCTCGCCGCAAAGAACTTTCAGTCTCATCACATAACTTTGCCTGCCGCCCCCATAAAACACGGCTGCCGAGGAGGAGGTGCCCGGAAGGTTGTTTACAACCATTTCGTCTAGTTTCTCGTCCCGCCAACTGGGGACCACCTTAGTAGCGCAGCTATATTCAGTTGGCTCCAGTACCAATTGCGCGTCGTCTTTACCCCTCCCGCCGCGGGAAGGGTTATCCCGAGTCCAGCCAAATGAACTGTGGGCTGCTGGCAAAGTTCCCGACCAGGGAAGCCAGGTGAACCAACACATTGGAAATCGTCGATGCCTTCGATTTGCAAGGCGGCGGGCAGCGACGACGAAAGACCACCGATTTCAATTCCGTTTATCCTTCATCCGTCACAGTAAGAAGACCGGACTCCTCTGAATTCCGTTGAACAAAAAGGCGGCAGATGCTCCGTATGTCAGGCCACTTTGAAAGACCACCAAGCCCCCGACTTCCAGGTTCTAGAGGGCACGTTCTTGGTGTCAGTCAGATGTTCTCTCCCAGACTGACCATCTGGATCACTGGAGCACAGTCTGCCGCTCCGATCGGGCGCGGCTAGGCCAGTTAAGGGCAGACACACGCCGGCTGCAGTCTCGCGTGGGTGAGGTGTGGTGGATTCGTACTCGGATTGGATAGACGGCTAACTCGGGTCTCCCTTGCAAGCTGACATGGCAGGGTACGAGGGTTCATCTTCCCACCCAGAAAAGGGGATGCCCACATGCCACAGGACTGGGCATCCCAAGATGCGCAAGCCGTATGCGCAGGCAGGCCGTAGGTAGTGCATACGGAGGAAGGAATCCTTCTTCTTCTTGTCACTGCGCAGTTTGATTAGTTGTCCATTGTGACGGGTGAAGCACTACCCAACGGAGCACAGCACCTAACAAGTAACAGCCGTAACTACTGCTCAGCCTGCGACCACGCTTGTTGATGTTGATATGGACTAAGCTAGCGAAGCCACCAGGGCGAAGTCTGAACAACCTGGAACCGTAGGGTCGACAACACCACCCAGAAAGTAGAGACGGGTCGCGGAAGACGGGCGCCGTCGCAGACGAAGGGTTAGCCTTTCTGCGCAGTCGCAGTCACGGCGTGAGACGTCTCGAGCCGATGGAAGTCTTAGATCAGACCGTCCCACGAATCCACGATAGGCGTCCGCACCTACTGCACCTACAGCACCTGACGAACTCAGAACGCACGCCGAGGCTGCCCTAGCCGTGACACGTTGCAGGCGCGGACTTGTCGTTGCTCAGAAGTAGCAATGTCGACTCGATGGCATGTGGGAGGCCTGTTTGTTTCGTTTCCAGCGCTTGTTTCGCGCCATCTCCAATTAATTCTGACATTCTCGGTGTTGTCGCCCAGAAACAAGAACTATCCGCAACGGCTAACAAGTGCGCTTATGCTGTCTTTGGGCCCAACGAGCCCAGCTGGTTGGGGCCGTCTGAACATTAGCTAGCCACGCTGTGCCTGCACTTGGATCATGACGTGTTGAGCGGAATGGCTGTTAGTGGCCCCGGACGGCAAAGCCGAGCTAACCTGCTAGGTACTCCGTAGTGGTTATTGTGTCTCGACTGATTGAAAGAGTTGCCGTGAATTGTCTTGCCAATGTTGCACCAAGGAAAGCAGCCGGAACAGGTTCAGATAGACAAGAGGGGTAAGACGCCGGGCCATTGCTAGTTTGGGTGTTTGGCAACCTGCGAGATGGCAAAGGCGCATGGCAGTCTCGAATTTGGGTCTGCAAGCTTGGCGGCGGTGCTTCAGCGTCGGTTGATTCGTTCAACCGTTGGCTGAGATGCCGCAATGCAACGTCGACGCCTCTGTATCGATCGTCGAATAGTAACACTCGTTTCCAAGACAGTTCAAGATACGGAACAGCGGTGAGGTTCAGGGTACGTATTCGATTATTGTCTCCGTCGAGTGCCAATACCTAGGTTATGTGTATTTGGGAGCAGCAGTGTACCTAGTGCATCGATGGAGCAGTGGCACGTTCTGGGAGCTGCCTTCATCAGCACTCTGAGTCTTGAGCAGTGTGGCAGCTGCGAGATTGTCGTCAGCTCAGTCGCAAGTCGGCCCAGTACGCCTAGGTACCAATCCGACGGGCGGTGATGGGCATGCTGATCACTAGAGTTGGTCAGATCAGCCTGGCGATTGGATCCTTCGCTACCTTATTGCCTCACTCGAGATTGCGGATGATGCTCCATGTCATCGTTGGCTTCCGCAAGCGAATGCGGCTATAAGGTAGGTAAGCACAAGGCACAAAGTACCGCCATGACCCCCAGTACTATGATTTGGGGGTCACTTGACAGCGTCAGCGCCCTGTCATAGAGGGATCGGTTTCACAGAGCCACGGTTCCAGATAAGGTATCTGTAGGCTGCAAAATCCAAGCTGTGATGTTGCTCGATTATGTGGCTCCGTACCTTGGAGTAAGCAAGGCGTTGTTGTCGCTGACTGGAACTGGCACGAACGAGGTCAACCTGGAAGTAAAGATCAGGGGCCTAGACGCAGCGGCCAATCCGGTGGCTGCCAGTGGTGCCGAACGGACGCGGATTGACAGTCTGGTGACAGTTTCTCAAGAGCGAAGGGTCCCCTCGGGTGCGAAGCTTAAACGGAGAGTCGGAGACTGGCCATGTCTCTTGGTCGTGTCAGCAGCAATGTTCAGGGCCGTCCGCAATAGAGTTGAGCACTTCTCTCGCAAGGTCAGACGAAGACATCTGAGCGTGCTGGAGCTGAGAACAAGGTTGGAGGGGTTCGTCATCCTGCTGTGTATCCGTAAAGTGTGCTGTGATTGAAGGGAGCAGGGGAGGCCATGTGAAACACGGTAAACAACGCCAGAATTGCGAGCCTGCCATGCCTGCGAGATCCTCCAACTGTCCTCAGCCCAGGTTGACAGGCCAAGTCCTAGCTCCGGCTGCGAATTGCCTGTTGCGGAGGCTTATGTAAAAGGGGCACATGACATTCAGCTTCGGCTCGCAATCAACGTTCACGTAATTTGATGAATATCGACAGTTGGAAGGACCTAAGGTGCCTGCTTGTGATGGCTGGTCAGTGGAGGCGTAGCTCGGAGAAGCCGTGCGAGCTCGAGGGAGGAAGGAAGCGAGGAAGTTGAAGGAAAGCAAGGGCGGAGGAACGGCACAGTGGTGCTTTCCGCTCCGATGCCGATCTGCGAAAAGAACCGGGGCCGACCTGCCTTGCTGGACGGAATGTCACCTTCCCACCTTCTTTTCTTTCCCACCCGACCTTTGGTTCCTGCCCACGATGAACATGTCACCATGGATGTCACTGTCCAATCTGTCAGGCACCTCCTCGCAGCCCTATTCCTTCCTTCCTAGTAATACAGACGGATACCGGTACATACCGTACTACCTTGATGCAGATGCGCCTGACACCTATCAGATGTGACGAGCGATGGTCTCAGTCACATGCATCTTGTCCCTTTTCCTTTCCCTGCGTAAGGTACCTTCGTTGCTAACTTGCATTTGCACATGCTTCAAGCCGCCGTCGACCATCTGAAAGACCACTCAAGGGCGACCTGGGTTGAATCTCGGTGGACGTCAAGTGACAAAAGAGGAATCTGGACCAGCCGCCAGCCCGCGCTGCTCCTCCACCCTTCCGCATACCTAGCCGGCTGGACTGCAGCGGATCTACCGGGACTTGGCTCATTGGATACGTTTGAGCCTTTTCGAGGTCGTCAAAATGGTGGTGGCTGCGCGCCTGCATTCATGGCCTGGTCTTTGGACCCTCGTCCTGTCAGTCCAGCCTGCACGATGGATCGATGGCTGCATGGTCATGCCTATGGCTGGGAGACCAGATTCGGTCCGCATATGGCGGTAAGCAACTACATCAACGGCGGATAACTGATAGATTAGACAGACATCAGATTAAGGAGACACGGAGACAGGTCAATATTCAGCCAGCCTCATCCTCCCTTGAAGTTTGAACCCATGGCCCGGCCCATGCAAGCACAGCAAGATGTGCGGCGCACCTTGGTCTTGGCACGCATCCCGCCGCCATAAGTGGACTGGGCTGTGTATTGTCTCTGAGCAATGAGCATCTGCGAACGAGGTGCTCTTCATCTTACTCTCGTCAAGCTGGAATGCACTCAATGGAAACTCAGGGGAAGAGAAACACGGGGCGGCAGATTCAGGGGATGAAGGCTGAAGCTCTCCTGAGTCCTGTCTCCTCCTGAGTCCTGTCTCCTCCTGTGAGGTATCCGTAAGAGGTTCCCCCCCATCGTCCACGGGTGGCCCTGGACGAGCCCTGTTCAGTGGAACCTGGTCCGAGACTTCGCCACACCTTCATCGCACACTGATCCTGTTGCGGTCAAAGTCCACCAAACTTGTGCTCACTGCGCCGTGGGCTGAGCGGTCTGGTCCATTGCTTCAGGGAGCTTTCCACCTTCCAAGCGGGCTCCCCGCTCTTCAACAATGCCCTGGAGCCCTGTACTTCAATGCCCTGGACCGGAGAGGGGCAAAGGAGGCTGGAATCGAGAGGGGCAGTCCACCGGTTTCCGCTGATTACAATCCTGGTAACCAGGCCCGGGTAACCCCCCAACACGGAGCAGTCTTGAAGTTTTGACTCCTTGTCTGTCTTCAAGTCTTGACAGCGTGGTGGACACTGACATCCACAATCTACGGCTCGTCCCATGGAGACGAACGCTTGGAACGCTTCGAGAAGAAAGAAGAATAGAAAGGGCTGAGAAAGGGCTGAGAAATTGGAGGAAGAAATTTTTCGTCTCACCCACATCGTCAGCGTTTAAATCGGATCAAGACCCGCTCGCATTGTACTGACCCCGAACTCCGCCTCGGCGGGACAAGTCCTCTTAGGTTTTCAGATCAAGTACTCCTTATTTCGAGCGAATCCAGGATTAGCTATTCGTACCTACCTGGGTAGCCATTGTAGTGTAGCTGAAGCGATCCTGAAGAGAGTGAACAAAGGAAAACGAAATCCGAACAGAACAGGGTTTCTCGGTGGTCCGTGCGTTGTTGCCGCACACCGAGTCACCGACGGCGCCGGCTCACCGAGGTCACTCGGCGGTTGTAATTGGCCACAGTTGCTCCCGCCCGTCCCGGCGCGGCTAAAGCAACAGCTCCCACTCCATTAAACCTCACCTCAAGTTCCCGCCTGCAGTCCTCAACGTGACAAACGGCATCTCCAAGGCAAAGGCAACGCCAGCCAAGGGTTCATCCACAACCACCACAACCACCACTACCAGTGCGGCAGTCAAACTTTGTTTTCACTCTCAGAGTTCCCTACAGTGGAGCTCTTGCCACTCTTTTTGTCCGTTGTCAAGTTGTGGTTGTTACAAATCCCGCCGCCTTGGCACTTCGCGGACTTTCACTCGCGCCCGGAATCGCGGCATCTCCCGCTCCTCGACCTCAACTCGACTTTGCCCGACGTCATCCATCACAGCCATGTTTTCCCGCCATGACTCTCAACCCCGTCAGACCCTGATAACCTCTTTCGTCGCCTGGAAGGCCCTCCTGCTGGCTATCGCCCTCGGCAGCGCTGTGGCGCCATCTTACGATACCTCGACGACTTTGATGCTCCAGCGCAATGAGTCTGACATCTCCATCGTCACCCGCTTGACGCGCTGGGACGCTCTCTACTTCACCCAATCCGCCAGACGTGGCTACGTGTACGAGCAGGAGTGGGCTTTCAACGCAGGTCTGCCAATTGTCGTCTCCGGCCTGGTCCGGCTTACGCGCCTACTTGGCTTCGAGGGTGATGGGACCGGTGCATTGGAGGCTGCCTTCAGCATCGTGGTCGCTCATGTAGCCCATCTGTTGGCTGCACTCATGCTGTATGAGTTGACCCTCAAGCTCTTCTCTCGACCTCGATTGGCATTCCTGTCTGCCCTGCTCCACATATTGTCTCCGGCTGGCCTATTCCTCTCGGCACCCTACGCAGAGAGTCTTTGCGCCTTCTTCTCATTCGCCGGCTACTACGTCCTCGCATCTGCCTCGAACTCTTCCAAGGGTTCATTTTCCTGGGTCACAGCTCAGATCCTGGCCGGCGCCATCTTTGGTCTCGCGACGGCCTCTCGGTCAAACGGCCTCTTGAACGGCCTCCCCTTCGCCGTCGAGTGTCTAATCAGCCTTCCCCCACTACTGGCCAGCCCTACGAGCTTGAGAAACATTGCGGCTCTGTTGGCTTCTGTCACAGGCGGGCTCCTCGTGGCAACGGGCTCCGTCGTGCCACAAGCGCTTGCCTGGTTGCGATACTGTTCCGGCGCATCCGAGGCGCGCGCATGGTGTGGGCGGACCGTGCCCAGCATCTACTCCTTTGTACAGGAACATTACTGGTATGTACTCTTTGCGCTTCACCGTCGTGTCCCTCTCTTTGGGAAAAAGATTTCTTTTCTTTCCAGCCCTACACTAGCCATGGGTCTTGTTGTCGTTGAGTCACCCCCCTCCCTTGAGTTCCTCCCTCGGGCCCCGTCGAGTGCCTTGGGTCGGTACTTGCGGAGATTTGAGGTGGGATCTGGGTTTTGTGTGGGATCGTGAATGTCACTTGTTTCCTTCAGATTCTGTTCTCGCTTGCTAATATTGGAAATCACGCAGGGGCGTTGGCTTGTTCCGGTATTGGACGCTATCGAACGTTCCTCTGTTCATTCTTGCCGCGCCGGTGCTGGGACTGCTCATGGTGTCCGGGTGGGAGGTCGTCAACAGGTCTTCGGGGTTGGCGCGGAGTCCGACGGCGGAGAAGCAGCAAGGGCAGAGTGGCACGACGTCGGTTTTGGTAGGTTGCATGGCCGCTGCCCAACTCCTGCTTGCCGCCTTGGCGATCACGACGTACCATGTCCAGATCATCACCAGGATCGCGTCCGGGTATGCGGTGTGGTACTGGTGGGTTGCCGGCTGTCTGCTGGACGACGGTGCCGACGGCAAGAGACGGGACGTTGGCGGCAAAGTTGTCATCTTTTCGGTAATGTACGCCATGATTCAGGGTGTGTTGTTTGCGTCCTTCCTTCCTCCTGCTTGAGATACCCGGGTTCTGCCGCTTCGGCGCATGGATCTCAGTTCGTCATATTGAATAAACTTTTCTTCTGGCATCGAGTCCCATGATGGGGGAACCTTTCATATCAACGCCATTCACTGCATATGGGATGATGACCAAGAGTGTCGGCCACTTCGGATAGCCTGGAAAGCTCATGGACCTGTATCTGGACCCTGTCTGTTTGCTGGCAGACTAGCCAAGCAAACCTAAAGCCTTGTGCATGAGGTGTAGTCAAAACAATGTGACTCGAGCATATACAGTGATGTCATGCTTCTATGTGTCAGTTGACGTCTATGTCAAGTTCATGTCATCTCCATGCCACGAAATTTTCTATCCCAGGGTCTCTCAGGGTCCAAGATCATGACTGAAGGCTAATGTCGGATGACCATCAGTGGCCACTTCAGCATCCGAGTGTCTTAAGTCATGAGTCGCATTGCAACAGCTCGACACAGTTTTGCACCACCGCCTAGCCTCATAGCAGGTATGAGAGAAGAAATACAGTAAGGGCAAACTCCTAGTCATAATGAGACAGTGGTGATTCTGTGGATGAACTATACGAGAATGGTCGATTATGGACACCTTAATGTCAGTTTGCTGTCAAGAATGTCCTGAATATGCCCTTTATTGTGGAAAAAATAGTAAAACCAGGTCACTTGCGCCATCTGCCCGTCTATGGTCTATATCGATGTGATCTGTCACCCTACTCACCGTTTTGGCTTGTTCTCGACGTACCGCTGGCGAATCAAGCAATGCTTGGGTTATAGCATGTAATAGTGATGCTTTCCAAAAAGGCGAGCCTGACACGACGAACACTGCCTTTAATGGGGGCTTATTTGAGTTTTACCAAGAACGAAGTCCAACACGCAGTCGAGTGGTCGTCATGAATCACCTTCAAAGCTATTAATTCTTGGGACAGAGATTACGACCCCTGAACCAAATTCTCTTCCGACCCAATGTCAGTGGTGGTGTTATTGCTAGCCTGAGTAAAGTAGTAATTCGAGCCAGAGTGTCAATGGAAGCCACCATAGCTGCCGGATCCTGATGCCATCTTCGTAACGCTTAACCTCGTATGGTCAACATTCAATCGTCGTAGAGTAAAGACTTGAATTTACAAGCCAGTGTTCAAGAACGTGCGGCGCGATCTCTCCACCCATCAAATCCCTTCCAGTGCTCACCCTGTTCTTCACACTCGTATCATTGATGGTTTCCCGTAGTATTGCGATTCGTTCCCTACAAGAGCAATGCTTAGTATATAAACGAAATAAACGAAGCAGGCAGCACTGACGAAAAGAATGTCGTCACGAGGAGAACTTGCGCCAATGATCAGCCCTCTACTGAGGAGGCTGTTGCTTAACCTCACGGAAGTACTTCAAGGTACGAGCAATTCTCTCGGGCTCAAGGGTGAAGTCGTCCTCAAACCGAAGTTCCTTGCGCAAGATGTTTATATCGCGGCGGCGGACGTCCTGGAATTGGTGAATCTCAAGCCAGAAGTGCAAGTGAGCGATGCTAATGAAGGGGTCGGCTTGGCCAACGACGAACTTGATAATCCGAACCGCAAAGTCATCGCCAGGGACCGTCGCGTTATTGCAGTAAACGTGCGACGAACGACTGGGAATGTAGTCGTCGTCACTGTTCAGCCAGGCGGCAGCAAAGGTCTTTTGGCGATGGTCATAGTTGAAGAAGCCCGTCAGTTGAAGAAAGACGCGGAGCTCGTGACCGCTTATGGGGAAGGCCTTCTCGTTGTCACCGACGACTAGACGGATGGCAAAGGCCACACGCTGGTCGGGGGCGTTGACCGCGGCGTTGATCACCTCATACTCGAAACCATCAGGACTCTGGCGAAAGTAGTCAATGACAGAGACGCCAAAGTGATCGGGGAACGGCCCGGGGAACTCCAGGGGCAGATGTCCGTGATCCTCCTCGGATTTAAGAGTGTCGACGATCGCCTCGTCTCTCTGTGGATTAATCAGTACGTCTGAATTGTTTGATACCAGGGCAGATAATCACCTTGTTTGAGTTGCGAGTGGTCCAGTCGCCGCGCCAAATGAAGCAACCCTCAGCTTCATACTTTGCCGCTGCTTCGCTGCAGTCGCTAATCACGTAGGCGAAGTCGGCGGTTGGAGTGACGGGCAGAGGGATAACAAGGCCATTTTCAACCTCGAGGGTACCCTCGGCAGAAGCTCCCTCCATTTCTGCCATTGTTTGCCTGGCTGATGATATGGAAGCTGAAGGAGTGATGATGTCTGGGGCTGGAAACGGATAGAGCCAATGGATTTGTGAAAGGATGTTCAGAGTGGCTTCATTAGGGCTTGGTTTCCCTCACTCCTCCGCTTGTCACGTCGATTTGCCTACGTATACGCGCGGGAAGCCGAAAGATCAGAGACCGCCGTCTTTGAGCTGAGCTATTGGCTTCTTTGCCTGGACTTCACATAGACTAGGGGGCTCATTGTCTGGCTTTGAAAGGCTATGAGCATATGCAACACCAAAAAGGCAAACAGCAGAGTGAACAAGGAGTCCTTCCATTGATTCTAAAAGCTATGTGCTATCCAAAAGCACAGAAAGGCCTGCTGTTGAAGGCCAGGGGTATAGAGTCTAGAGTAGGTCAGAATAGGTCATCAGCAGAACGAGTAGGCTCTATGTTGCCACGTCGTCTTCATTAGGATTAAATGCGAATGGGAAAGTAAAGTCCTTAGAAAACGAAAACTTCGTAAATCGCACTGCTTAGTCGCTGTCCTCGTCCCGGCCTGGCCATACAAGCTTCCTTCTGATGACAGCACGAGCACAGCAAAAGCCAACAAACAGCCAAACGGCCACTAGCATGATGGTGAACACTGTGGCTAACCACAGCAAACCCTCGTTGCCGAAGGCCTCGCCTATGCGGATGGTGGCAATGGTGAAGCCGACGTTGGGGAAGACGAAACTCCACCAGCTGAGGTGGAACGAGTGATCCGGCATGCCGAACATTGTAGAGAGACAAGCGGAAGAGAAGAACCAGAAGGAGAGGCCCCACAGGAAGACGGCGGTAAACAAGGCTACAGCCCGTACGGCGAATGCGACGGTGCCAGGGTTCTCCATGCCGTACAGATAAGCCGCATCGCGGAGGGAGTCGGAGATGATGGACCCTTCGGACGCAATGAGACGGGGCAGGTTAGAGCCCATGGCTACCAAGGCCGCGGCAGTGAAGCTTGGTGGCCCGACGGCGATGAACATGCCAGGGCGTTGGACGGGGAGACCGATAGTCATGAGCCGTGAGAGATACGTCGCGTACATGAATGCCGAGACGAGGAAGCCAAGCCCCTGAGCCGCGAGACCTGCGCCCAGCATAGCAGCGGCTTGGTTCGGCGGCTGCGAGGCGGCCATGAAGCCCGCCAGCGTACCTGACAACATGACGGGAAAGATGGGTAGAATCCACGCCGGAGTCATGCTATCTAGGGATAGTCTTCTGCGGCCGGTGAAGAGGAGGTGGTACATGCCGACGGAGGCGAAGAAGGTGACGACGAGGTAGATCCAAAAGCACACCCTCAACGTGACGATGAGCCACGGACCGCATTTCGGAACGGCGTAGTGTTGGATGTTTGAAAGGGCGGCGGCGATGGAGAGGAAGAAGGTCGGGATGAAGAGGGATTCTGAAGGGTGCGTGATGGCTTTTGCTGGCGTCTTTCGGAAGAAGGAGAAGCGGAGGCATAGAGCCAACGTGATGAGGAAGATGAGGACGATGTCGAGAAGGAAGACGATGAGGCCTATCGTGTCGAGACCGCGGAAGCGGTGGGGAGTCTCGGCGAGGAGGAGGGCGATGCCGCCTGTTGACATGCTAGTGGGAGGTGTCAGTGAGATGCAGGGGGGGCTAGGCCGGGCAAGCCAGCGGGAAGCCGGCCGGCACGGGACGAGGCATGAGACTTACGTTAGGGTGTACCATGCGAAAGTGAAGTGGTGGATGCGTTCGCGCAGAGAGACCTTTTCAAGGAGGGTGTTGGTCCTGCTTTTTGTGCGGGAGAGGGTGGCCATGAGGGCATTTTGAGGTGGCTCGTCTGAAATTTGGCCCTCGTCCCTGGTCCGGGTTGAGGCCTTGGAGACGACATCTGCGAATTTGTGTGAGTGAGTGAGACTGAGCTTGAGAGGGAGAGCATAGTACTGACTTATCGGTTCGTCTGCGGCGGCCATTATGGTGAATGTGACATGAGAACACCGTGTCTTGTGAGGTTTTCAGAGTGAGAATGCTGACTGAGATGATGGGTTGTGAGATTCGATTGATGGCTTCTTGGATGCAACTTGGACGTGATTTCTTGTTCGAGGTTCCTGGCGCTCAGATGATCGACGTCACTGCACTTTGGGCCGCCGATGGGATGGTCCAACATTAAATTAAGAGTCTGCAGCAGATGAGTCAGCCAACCTCTGCGGCGGTTCCAAGCTGCGGGTCAAGCTGGCGAGTCGGTATTGGAGTGATGAGAAAAGGGGCGGTCGTATGATTTGAGTATTTTTGGGCTTTTTGTTCCTGGGATGTAAACTGGCTGGCCGCTGCGCGGCGGGAATAACGAGCCATACGTAAGATAAGTGAGGATGAACAGCGGTCTGGAAAATTCTTGATCGGCAGGGCCGAATTGAGGCCGGGCAACGGTTCGTTTCGGAGGCGGCGAGCTACTGCCGGCGTGGCGCCGTGCCATCGGGTCTTGGGTGTGTTGGGCGGACGGGTGCATGGGTGCCCCTCACATGAAAATCTTAGGAACAAGTTTACATGGTCGTGTCTGTATCACAACTTCGCAGTTCGAACTATCAAGAGTCGGAAGAGGGACTGGTCTCATCTCATCTTTGGTGGGAGCAGAGATGTTCATTTTTCACGACCATTGCTCGTCTTCCACTATGGATGGTCGTCCACAGATGTGAAGCAATCAAGCGGCTATCCGTCAATAAAGACCAGATGAGGTGGAACGTCCCTCACATGAACAGCCTTGACCACGAGTGTTCGCAGAGGCGAAATTGTCATGCAGGGGCACAGTGGCCGTCAAATGCTTGAAATCTGGAGAATTCGGCACTTGTCGCGACTTGATGAACAAGGCACGATAACGGACCGGACAGTTGGTGCTTCCTCAGATCCTGGGCCCTGAGGGCTAAAGACGAGGCAGCAAGATCTTGACGCGCATGCAAGAAAGCCTTCTCCTAGGTCTCATGTGAGGATTGAAAATGGATTTGCCCAGGCCCTGAATCGATGGTTTGCAGGACGCAGGCAGACCAGAGACAACGTGGCCGCCGATTCATGTGACAAAGTTCAGGTTCAAGAATGGAATCAGTCACTGTGAGAGTGAAACACGGCTGCTTCTGGTAGCTCAAGCGTGGTAAGTGAGCACGCAGAGATGGAGTGGATGATTGCGTCTTCCGAGTGCCGCCTTCGGCGAGCTGAAAGAGAAAAGAAGCGCATTGACCTGGTCAATGTCTATGATGCTCACAGCAGCGAGTAGGTACGGATAGATGTGGCGCGAGGTGGCCTGCAGACGAACAGGCCTAGGTAGTCGGGCCGGGAACGTTCGGCCGGTTCCCCGCCGTGCCCGCCTGTGGGCAGATATCGTCCGGTCAAGCATGACTAATGAGCGGATTGGCATGCGAGAAGTTGGCGAGTGGTGCTTGGCTGCTCCTTAGTTTGAGGCTGTTGTTGGCCGTAATGCGGTGCAAATAAAGCTGTGGGCGTGACTGGGACGGCTTGCTCGATACCTGCCTACCGATTGGCGTAGGTGAATTTCGACGAGGATAGTCACGTAGACATGGGTAGCAATGCAGGTTGCCGACATGTTGGCAGCATGTTGGAACGCGTGGTTTATGCTTTTTGCAGTGTCGCAGCCGTATCCGTAACGTGAAAGAGGATGAAGACGACGATTTGGCGTTGGTGGCGTTGACCTGATTTACTGTCGTAGAAGACATTGATGGGCAAGGTCAGAGAAGTGTATCAAGGAAGGTCGTCTTAAGGTAGGTAGGTAGGTAGGTAGGTAGGTAGGTAGGTAGGTAGGTAGTTAAGATGCAGTGATATGTGAGCAATCAGGTTCTGCGCCTGTTGTCTCATCTGGAGTAGCGCAAGTACGGCGATGCAATATCGAGTCCGCCAGTCAGTGTTGACTGAACATGCTGCGGCACAGTCTGCACATGTAACTCGATGAGACGTGGTTGAGGTGTGGTGTTTGCTGTTGGTGGCAGATGTTGGCTGTGGTTGTAGTTGTAAGGTAGTTGTGATGATTGTGCCCTTCAACAGAAGCCTCGACCTTCTCATTCAATACCTATTGGTGGTGGGTTTTGATATGTAGTTCTCAGTCTGATTCAGGCGACAAGATACTTGTCAAGACTTGGAGGCTCAAAGAGGGGCCATTCGGGGTCTTTCCTCCCGCTCAGATGGCCTTCCTACCTAACGGAAGGCACTTAGCAGTGCGAATGGCGGCAAGCGCTGGGATGCAGCTGTCACTGAGAGCGGAAGCCGAAGCCCGAAAGGAGGGAAGGAAGGTGCATCAAAGTGGGTACCTACAGCTTACCTAAGGCACTCACGTACCGCAGTACCAGGTACCCACGTTGGCACGTACCTTACCTCCAGGAAGGCAGAGGCAAGGCTGCCAAAGGTGCGTAAGGTCCTCTACCTCGTTGGGAGGGTCTTCTGACATCAGATGTATCCCCACACCAGCTCTTGTAGCAGAGATACTTGGGAGCTCACCTTGCCTCGCCGGCCCTCCCCAGCAAAGGTGAGGCCCAGGCTGCTGTTCTACTGCATCATCACTCCCTCCGCGCCCTCTACCTAGGCACCTACCTAGGTAAGGTAAGGTACTCCGTAGGTTAGGTAGGTACTTGAATGCGTAGGTACGCTGTAAAGGTGCTGCAAAGGCCGCCGACCGAATACCGTCACCCGTCACCCGTTCCCCGGTGAGTACGTGCCCGCTTCTGTTGCCTCTCCCGCTCCGACCACAGCTGCACACCTGCATCCCGTATGCATCTCTCTTTTTATTTTCTTCTTCTTCTTCCTCCTCCTCCTTTCCAGACGGCTTGGGACGGGGCAGTATTAGATTGCATTGCCATCCAACACCATTTCTTCTTGTTCTTGTCCTGCTTCTTTTTCTGTTCAGATTTCCCCTTGTCCCAGGTATTCTTTGCGGTGCTCATATCCCCGCCAAATACTGTACTGGGACGACCAAACGGGGGTTCTGCGGAGACACAAGACCCAGACAGCATCATCGTCCATTATTCATCATTGGTCGAACTTCCAACAAAACGACACAATTGACCACCATTGCTAGACAACCACTTCACCCAGCGTCCACCAGAATCCGACCTGGTTT